CAGGGACTATATCACCCCATTCCCAAAGTAGTTGACTAGCAGAGAACAGCAGAGACGGATCCCAGGGTGTGACAGAGAGCTCTAGTAGGATATAGATATAGTATTAACCTAGCTAGGGGTAGGCCTAGATACTAGTATATCTAGATTTATAGCAGGATGGCTCTAAGACTCTAATACTTCCTAAGAGTTAAGTTAAGAGTAATCTAGTAACTTATCACCTAGCCCTAGTTTAGAAGCACTATAGTAAAGAGGGAATTATAGGTATTTAAATATTATAAAAAGTAAATAGTAATATAAGTTCTAGAGAATTATTAAGTATCCTATAATACTTCCTCTTATAGGACTAGCTCTGGCAGTGTCTATTCTATCTACTAGGTAATATCTAGATATTAATATATATCTTTAATCAGCTAAAACCTAATTTAATTAGGCTAGGTGATTAGCCTCCTGCACTGCTCTAGTATAGCTAATTAATAACAAGGGTATATATATTATCAGTCTTATCATAATCTTAAGAGTATCTTAGGATGTATAACAGACTACATCTCTATAATAGCTACCTAATATTACCCTCCTACTAAGTTTATGCACATCTTTACTTTGAAGCTTTTTATATTTTAATAATAGATTATGCTTTTTTCTTATAAGTCCTTTTCTTTACTTATATATATAGTAGAAATTATCTCTAGCTTACCCTTATTATACTTTAAGTTCTATAGCATCCTTAGCCTCTAAGAATTATCTTACTATTAGTATAAACTAATATAAGAGGCTCTTAATCCCTAGTCTTATAGTTAAGGATTATAAACTAATATTATATAGATAGTCTATTAGCCCTATACCTAATAGAAGCTGGGCAAAAAATAAGAGAGTAAAATAGAAGAGATAGATAGAATTAGTATATATCTATAATAATACACAGTTCTACACACCATCTAGGATAATAATAGATAAATTATAGGTACCCCTAGTATCTCCTAAGACAGGACTAGGGTATAAGACTTATATCTTTCCCACCTTATTAGAAATATATAAGCTGAAAACAGCACTCCCAGTCTTTAATTAATTAATAATAAGATATAGTAAACAATCTAAATAAAGAGATAAAACTAGGTTATATATTAAAGTAAAGAATATGCCCTAACTATAAGATATAATAGATATTATTCCTCCTAATGAAGGGCAGGCAGGCTTAGTTTAGTTTTTATTATATATCCTAGAGTTAACTTAAGTTAGATTAATATAGCAGTTAGTAATAATAGGACTTTTATTATCAGGGATCATAGTTAATTAAGGCATATAGTCTTTAAGCTATATAATCCTAGTCACTAGTATCTGATGCTATCAATTTTTATTGGCTGAAGGGAAAAAGATATCACACTTCAAGTTCTCTTCCCACATAATAATATTTGGAGAAGCAGGTCGACCTCCAGCATCGGTCTGGATTGTGCCGCCCGCATTCCACCGGAGCTTCTTTGACAGCCTTCAGTCGCCACAGAAGAGGTACGAGATTGCCAAGGACAGATGCCACATGAACTTCTTGAAGGATATGAACTGTGATGAGCTCTTGGGCGGCCAACTAGAGTTTTTGAAGGACGTTATGAATTTCTGAGTCACATCTGGCCAACTCGGGCACAAATAATGGAAGTTGTATAAAACAGAATTCATCGACTTGCTATACACAACATTGGGTCAGTAAGAAGGAACCCGAAACCCGTGTAAAATTTTGGGTCACCTGATCTTTAATTTGTGACAGGTATTGTTACATTTCACGTTTCCACATCGGATTCCACGCACATAGAAGTCCGGCGTCACAAGTCAATCAAAAGGAACTTCATACATTGTTTATCATCGGTCTATACCGTCTATACCGATCGCTCTCCCCCTCTAGATATGGAGGTAGACGATCCTCCTGTGGATGAAGCCCGCCCAGGGACTCCGCGGCCTGTTCGAAAACTCTGGTCCGCTATTGGGACCTTCCACCCCTACCCCCCTCCCCGCATCTCCCTGAAACGGAGGGCGCCATTCTCCCCCTATAGGATGCCTACGGCGATAACGGCCCCTATATCCAACACGCAGGCCCCTGGATCGATATGCCAGCAGGCTACCGCAGCAGCAAACGACCAGCTCCTGCTCCTAGGTGACTGGAAGCTGGCACTAACCTCCCTTGCAGAGGCACTTGAGACAACCATCTCCTCTCTACAAGGTCGTCCCAAAGAGCTCGCTAGAGGGCTTGTAGCTAGGTTTATTACCCTGGCAAACCACAACACCCCACAGCAAGGGGCAAAGCCTGATATAGCACGCCCCCAGCAGGCGCAGGCATATCAAGCTAAAAAGACCTTACAGGCCTCAACCTGGGCCTCAGTTGCCGCCCCCAAAGCTAGCCAGGACAACTGGCAATCTATTACTCAAGAATACCATGTGCAAGCTTCTCAACAGCAGGCACAAAAGCCAGCCCAGCAGCAGCCTCAGCAGGAAAGCGAAGCTGACTCCTGTATCTTTCTCCGGCTGCTAGTCTCCTCCAGCCTACAAGCTATTAGGCTGCATGGTATCCGGGTCACCCTGGCAGAGAAAATTCCTGGTGGAATTACATGAGTGCAGGCTGTAGCTACAGGATATGCAATCTCAGCCACTGAAGAAGGCAGGGCTTTCCTACTCTCCCTACAGGCAAGCAGGCTAGCAGGAGACAGCAACTTTAAGGCCGCAACTAGTTTCTATCAGGTAGCAGTCCCTAGGATCCCTCAGCAGCTCTGGACCCTAGAGGGATGGGCACCCACCATAACTAATGATATTAGTACAGAAGCAGAGCGCATAGTGAACTGGTATGAAGCTGCTTATGACTAAGCCCTCTAAGCACCCTGTAGAGGAAGGCTTAATCATAGCAGTCATAGCCTTTCCAAAGAAGCCATGTCGCGCCTTGCAACTCTTTAGCTCCTCTGGCCTATTACAGCCTACCTGCCCTAAGCAAAGAATAATATAGTGTACCCACTGCCACCGCTTCCATGATATATAAGCCTGCTGCTCTAGTGAGCACTGCATCTCCTGTGGATCCTCTAAATAAGAGCATACCTACTACATGCAGTGCATGAACTGCTGCGGCCCACATGTAGCAGACTACTAAAAGTGCCCTGCTAGACCATATGCACAAAAGGGTTCTATTATCTGCCTTGCAAAGGACACCTTAGCCGCTGTTCATAAGGCTAGCTGACTTGCCTTCCAACAGCAACTAGCTAAGATAGCCTCTAGCTACCAAGCTAGTAGTCCACATACCCCCCATCAGCCCTCAAGCCAGCTTGCCCAGGAGCTTGCAAATCAAACCCTCCCATCACCAGAACTATGAAGATAGTGCAGGCTAATATTGGAAGGGGCGGCCCTGCCCTCGACCTACTGCTATCATTTGAGGCAGACATTATCCTAGTCCAGGATACCTTATTTGGAACACTCTTTGGCGACACCCAAAACACCCACACCTGGCTGTTCTCGAGCCGAAAACCGTTGAAAGTTATATTTAACTTTACCCTTGATCACTTCTGAGTGGTAATTTCTTCTTCTTCTCGCTTGTTGCGGTGCAATGGGTGGTAAGAAGAAGAAAGGGGCTGTGGCGGCGGTAAATGCGTCACCGTGGCCTGACCTACCCTTCGATACCTTTAACGACCTTGATCTACGCGCCCATTCAACGAAGCTACTAGATGCAGTATCTCAGTTGAAACGCACTGCGGAATCTACTAGGGGTCTTCCCCCTTTTGAGATGTTCTGGTCGCTCCTAGGCACCGTGGAGTCCCTCACGGTGAAGGCACGCGATGGCGACGCAGCCCAGCTTGCTAAGGAGGTCCATGATATCAAAACCATGCTCAAAGACACCGCAAAACGGATCTCCAGCGAAACTAAGAGCATCCAACATTCTATTGATGCGCAGCGTACCCTCCCTGGCGCCCCCGGGCGCACCCCCTACCGCGCGGCTCTGCTGTCCAGCAAGGCAGAATCCTCGCTCGTCTCTGATTGGATGAGACGGGCCCACACCAACGGCTTAATTGTATCGGGGCATACCAGCACGGGCAGCCCGCCAGCGCCGGTCAACCCCCTGCGAAGCGACCTAAAAATCCACATCCGCTGGACTGACCGTGCGGTGGTCGACCCCTTCCGCCATAAGGAAGGCGCGCTCGCGGGGTGGGCTATGTTCGTTAGCTTCGGGTTTTATAGTCCTACTCTCATCTTGATGATCAATCATGCCCATGCTAAAGGGCATATGTAGATGTCTCGGTTGGAGGGCACTTACTCTGTTCCAAGGCAAGCCATGAGTACTGGATGAAGGCCAACTTTGGTCCGAATCGACGGCACCGGGAGCGCAATGAGGGATGAGATATGAGTTGGGATTCGGATCTTTCCTCTTTTTGGAAGTGCTAGTTTATGATGTGTTGCGGGCTTGCGGCGCCATGTTTTAGATGGCTGCCTCAGCCTACCTCACTTGATTTAGGCCTGCTAGTTCCTTCATAAATCTGAAGTTTTTGATTATCTTACATCTTACATCTTTCCTCTTTCTTTCTTTCTTCCTCTCTTTTTCTTTTTTTCTTTTTCCTTCCCCGCAGAGATATCCCTCTTCAATCACATCTTTCCTCTTATGCTTACTTATACATCTTCCCTTCTTCGCCTCTTTCTCTTCCGTTATTAGGTCTCTTAGCCCTGCGGTCTGAAACTGCCAGCACTAGATCTATTTGACGGGAGTATTGCTAAACACAAGAATTACCTGACTCGTTCGCGTTTCTGTGGCGTTGAAAGCACTCAATCTCTCTTCTTTGACTGATAATTTTGGCGCCGGAAGTGATTGAAAATAACTGATGATCTGTCCAAGTATTGAGGGAGCCTGACTATGGCGGCAACTGACTCACTCTAAGGCGCTAGGACTCCGCCTTATTAGATTGGATGATGGACATTCATTGTAAGCCATGTCTCAGCCTAGGTTTGGTTTTCTTGACATTTCCTCTCAGCCTCGCAGATGTACAGCTATATGTATTAGATGCTCTGGCCCTGTTCTTCGGTTGTTACAGCCTTCTCGGATCTTAACCCTCCCTGAAGATTGCCAGAAAGCACTTTTCTTCATCCTTTCATAAGGTTATCTTGATACAATTTTGCCACCTTCGTCCTCAGCGTTGCTGAGAAATATTAAGATGGCAGAAGCCATCACTATCGTGGGTGCAATTGCATCAACAATCCAACTGGTAGATTTCACAATCAAAGTTTTCGACCGTCTTAACCACTACCTCCACCTCGTTGACGAAGTACCGAAATCCCTTCGAGGTATCAGACTGCATTTGCCACTGTTCATCGAGGCATTGCGACGCACACAGTTTCACATTGATCACGGCCACTACAACCCAATGACTTCAGCCGTGCTGAAGTCCTTCGTTGACGAATGCAACTCACAAATGATCTTGCTCGAGGATATCCTCGCAAAGGTGGCACCCGCCCAGGACGATTCCAAGATGATAAGAAGTCGCAAAGCGGTTTGCAGTCTGAAGCATGAAAAGGCCCTGAAGAAAATTCACTCCAATCTCTCAGGATACATAGAGAAGCTGTTGTTGTTTCAAAGCACAGTTTCTTCAGACTATATCATGGTCATGATGAAGCCCATGCTGAGTCAAAACTCTGTTCTTTCGGAGAATTTGACCGCATCCACGACCAGGTCAACAGGCGGGCTTGTGGCTGACAGCAAAAACATATGGGCTACAAAGCCAATGTCCCAGAAGACTTCAAAAAGCCTTGCAAACTATTACAAGAACAAGAAGCAATACCGATTCTCACAGTTTATGGGATTCTATTGGCTCGGTATACCCTGGGCCTTCCAAGCGAGCCTGGATCTTTCATGGGGAAATTATGGCTTCTCAATTACTCCAAATCTGCGGATGCAACAGCTGGTCAAGCATACCTCACCGGCATTTGAAGTTTTCTGGAAGTGCCAAACAGATCGTCAAGACATTCAGTCAGCCCGTGAAGCCCTATTTGAATTGTTCAGCACCGGAACAGTCTCTCCACAAGATGTTGACCCCGACGGGAGGACTTGGTTGGAGGTAAGTTGGATTTCTCATGCTTCTCATGCGATTTGCAAACAAAGAAAATTAATTGATGCCATTTCAGAGGATCTTATCTGTACGCATGAGCGCCAATCATGATATGCTGATTGCTTTCTTTAAGATGCTCTGTGAATGGGGCGCGCCGATGAATACTAAGACATCGTACGTCAATCATCGGGGGTGGTGGGGTGGGGGGGGGGCATTCTATCTCTAATAAAAGTACTGTATAGGCTTCTATCTCTCTGCGCAGGTTGGAGTGGCTTAGGACCCCATTTGACTTTGCTTAGAGAATTGATTGCTGTGGGGTATGACTTGTCTACAGACACATGCAATAGTCCCTTCATGTTCTCGAAGTTGCCGTTCGCGGAACCGTTGTTCGGCTTTCCCGGAGCATACACGGATATGCCAGATCCTTTTCTACTCAAGTTCTTCGTGGAATGTTCCAAAAATGCATGCGGTAAATGCTATCCACCTCCTGTGAGCTTCACTTACTGCCAGTTACTGATCTATCATCAGGTGTTTGGGGACAGACGCCTTTCATGGATGCTATTTTGTGTGGCTCCGCAACTGAAATCGCGAAGTTCCTGCAATGCCCACAGTTTTTTCAAGGCAGAAATGTTTTTGGGCAAACACCGATTCATCTGGCCGTTTTACGCCCCAGCGTGCTCCTGAGCGTACTGGAAGTATGGCCCCATTTTGACATTACGGATGATTCTGGGAGAAGTCCGCTGGTTTATGCCGCAGCATATGGCTGCGTTGAATCAGTCGTACTTCTTCTTAAGGCTGGGGTAGACCAGATAAATTCTCAGCACTTAGATTTTCTGGATTACGCCAGGGCCTGGCGTCATTGGGACGTGGTGACTGAGGCACTTACTTTTTTCCACACGACGGGGCTTTTCTCAGATACTTTTTTGAAAAGTCAGATCCATTGCCTCATGGCCAACTATCTTCACCTTGCGTGGCAGGGCCGGCCAGAAGATTTTAAGATCATGATCGATTTGGGAGCAAACCCACATTTTCTATTTGAGGACGGAAATACATTGCTTCATCGTCTTTGGCACGATACGCAGGTGAACGCCCTATTTGAAGCCGGATACGAATATATTGATCGTCCTAATTTGGAAGGTCAAACTGCTCTCATGTCGTCAATATCCCGGTGTCACTGTCTGATCTACAACAATATTCTGGCACGAGGATGTAATGTCAACCATCAAGATAACAGAGGGCTCTCAGCATTGCACATTGCATGCCAAAGGATGAATCAAGACATATTCCACCATTCAGCGGATCCATCTTATATGCTACAAGAGGTTTCGAGAATCATTGTCCTAATAGCAACGCTTTTACATCATGGTGCAGATCCCTTAATGCATGACAACTGCCGCTGCCCCTGCTCTCCTAATGGCTGTTCACCATCTACCAAACTCCTTTATTCGGAGAGGTGGAATGCATCGACAGCTCATATATGGGTCTTGGACTGGCTCTTGACGTTGAGAGAATCCCGGGGAGAAACCACTGCGCAGAAGGCTTTAGCGGAGCTAGTTCGAGCAATCGAGTTCGAGAGGGCTGGCATTACTCATGTCTGCTGTCAGAGAACAGCATTTTCGCGTGGTCCAATGGAAGAAGAAGAAATTGACGAGATTCTCGATGAGGAAAAGGACTTCATCTCAGAACTGAATGATACCATGGAACAATTCGTCCAAAACATTGACGATGGCTCCATTGAGGAGAACTGGCTCAAGACTATGGTTAGCTTTCATGCTCCGGAAACCGACAATGAAAACAATTTATGGTCTTGGGCTACTTGGAAGGGAGTGAGTTCATCAATGAGCAATAATTGGAGCAGTCCACCTCCGTGGCATTCGTCGAAAATGCAAGACTACAATAATCGTCCGATCCGCGCCTCCACGGCTTCTGCAGTGAACGAACCTCGCTACTGGATCGACAAAACGTGCGACGAATTTCGGAGAGAGCAAGGACCGATAACAATGCAAAGGATACGCATCAGCCGGCTTTACTCTGCGTGGGTGGAGTACTTCTACAGAAATCAAGCACTGCACGACTACCCTACTCGAATTGGCAAAGAATGGCATGAACGTAGAAAATATTGGGCGACTCGGCAGGCCGAGATTCTTGATAATGTCTCTCGAGTCAGTGAGATGTTGTGAATATGGATTCCTCATTCACATTTATAGGGGCGTATGCATTGATAATATGGAATCAGAGACTCCTCAATAAGCTTTGTCTAAATGGAAGATGTCGCCTTTAACGTAAGGAAGGATGAAGAGGTAAGAATCAGACACTGCATTCCAAGTACTTACTAGCTGATTTTGAATCACTCAAGTCTTAAACCCAGCCAAGCTGCTTTAGTTAACAGATGCAAAAACTCATCCACCTTAAACCCTGTATATTGAATACACAAATGATTTGCCAGAGTACCCAAGGACAGATCCAAATGGATATACCTAGTTATTCCAGTGAGTAGCTACTCGCAAGAAGAAGCAGAGCAATTAATAAAGGATGTCAGCACTTGTGTTTACAAACTAGTTATTAACCAATTCAAAGATCCAGTATTCTCAAGCAAGTGTCCAAGGTGCAAGAAAGAATAATAAATCATCCTTTCTGAACTTTCCAGTTAAGAAATGGATACAGAGATTAAACAAGATATTCGTAAACAGCATATAGGTAAGTACTTGATAAGCACTTACTAGCTACCTTCTAACTATTAAAACTATAGTCTGTTTCATTAAAAAAAAAATCACAGTCTCACAAGTGTGCGTAACCTACTTTATAAATTTCTCAGCGAGCTGTCGTTGAGGAAGCTTAATTATCATTCACGTCCCTTATTCAGATTCGCCTGCAATATTGGCAGTGGTCTGTTTCTCATACTTCATTAAGTAAATATTGTCCAGGGAAACAATTGTAGACAATCTATTCTTCAAGGCGTTGATCGAGTCTGTTAAAAACGATGATTTGATCCCACAGAAACTAGGCCCCCTTCTCAGTTGAACTTTCCCCAGGCTTTGCGATGCCAACATCCACTGGGAAGGGAAAGAAGGTTGAGTATCTTGACGAGAATACGGATGCCGTGAAGGGGACTTCGAAGATTTCCTTGTTGGCGCTCGCTATCGAGTCTTCTTGCGTGCGCAAGTAGTGTGTTTTGATCAGCCGCTAAGATTAACGCGTTGATTTTCAGTCCCGAATGGTTGTGCTTTGAAAGATGGTAGGTTGGAATCGAGTTGGGCTAGGCAGCCATCCAAAGCATGTCAGCGCAGCAAGTCTCATGCTTTTTTAGAAGAGAAGGGAAGGCAGAGCCTATCATGGATTGTGGATCATTTGGTGTTTCAGATTGACAAATTTCCCCAACCAGAACGCCCTGTTTCGCGCCCAGGTGGATCGCCACCTCCCTGGACTTATCAGGCTCACTCAAGGTGATGTATGCTCCAGGCTGGTGATGTATTCTCCAGCCATCACCACCTCGCTAGATTGCACCCACACTAATCACCACCTCTTTCAAGCGGCATCACCCCCGTCACCCGCGAGGACACCCACCCGGGTATTAACCACGTTCAAGCCACACGCCGGCCGGTTAGTAGTTGGGTGGGTGACCACCAGCGAATCCCGGCTGTTGTATGTTTTTCCTCACCAGTCTTTTTTGTACGATAGATACACAGATTTTTACTGTTCCGCTGCCCCGTTCTTATTCCTTTAGCTGAACCAGTTTGAGGTCCTGGTTGCGTGCTGAAGTAGTGATGTGTATGACCGAATATTCCCCATATTAACAAGCGGTGTGAGACTCGCTGCATACAGATGCAAAGTGACGAGAACCGGTCACCACTAGCACTCGGTTAGTGACTAGGAGCTCGAGTTATTGGCCAGGCCCAGAATGTTCTGATATATAAAGATCAGCTTAGGTGGGCCGTTGACTTGTTCACATGAAATACTGGTGACTGTCGCGCAGTGAGATGTGCTGCAAAGTGCACTGGAGTACTGCAACCTGGGCCACCATGCAGATTTTCCCTTTCAAAACGTGGGCTGTTCTGGTTACATACACTACACTTCTGCTGGGCATATTGAAATTTCAAGATAAGTCAAGCGGAATATAGAGCTCGATGGGATTATGCCAAAGAGCTTAATATCCGATTTCTTGGCCCCGCCCAATCCAGTCAGTGGCCTGATGCTCACCGCAGGCTATTCGAAGATATTCAGAAGCTTGGGAATCAGAAATATTCGAGATTCAATGAAACTGTCTCTGTTGACTCGATAGACAAGCCCTGGCGACGTCAAACGAAGCAGAGGGCAGCGCGCCTAGTCCAGCAAAGTCAGATATCGAGGCAGGATAGGAAGAATGAGGCCGGGTGGAGATTCTCGATTGAACCGGAGGTTCTCCATAGATTTACGGTTGAAGTAACCTGGTAAGCTATCGTGGGACCAACGTTAGGGACGCCGTGCGACCGTGTCTGACATACATAACCTCATTTAGCCCCAGATGTCGTAGCAGACTCTGGAAATCGGAGATTGAAGCCGCGGTGCAGTCCTCACAGCCATTTGCTCAATCCTTGGAGGCTAGGCGTAGGCGCCGTGCGCCATGTCGGTGTGTTGACCAGTGGAGTTACAACAGGTAGGTCGAGCTACGCATTTCAGTTGGTTGAGAAGGTATAGACGGCAGGGAGCTGCAATTAGCTAAGGCCTAATTCAGTGGATACGAGAATGGAGTAAACATGCTGTTCTCAGATCGCGCTCAAGCAACCATTAAACATGACCCACCTCTACCTATCGAAGGCCGAAGACGAGGCCAAGTATCGGAAGAACCGGACAGGATATACGGGCTGCGAGACACAGGTAGCTTGAAGAGGGTATTGGACTCCGTAAACAAACACAGCGCGTGTGATGGAAATGTCAGAACTCTGAGGGACACAATTGAAGTGAGCCCTTTTGATGACGAAGGTGAGCGATTGCTCTTTCCTTTCCTGATAATGGAAGCCAAATCAGGAAAGCACGGGGACATGGCAGCCGTGGAGATGCAAACAGCCTTTTGCATTCGGCGCCTGTTGAGACTACAACTTGAGTTACGGAAGGCTGGCGGTGAGAATGTCTGTGGCCCGTTTGAGCCGCTAGTCTGGTTTTTATCGTGGTCTGGGGAGCGGTGGAACGTGGCTGGTTGCTTTGTCAAAGACTCGTGCGGGTCCATCGAATGGGTAAGCATTCATCGAAGTATCGTCATGCCTTCCAGCTTTCTGATATTGAGATAGTTGACCGTATACCTGTGGAGCGGAGATTTAACGGGCGAAGACGGCTCGCTACAGCTTCTTCTGATTATTGACTACATATCTGACTGGGCCCGTGACGTCTATCGGCAGTCTCTGCTGGCCCAGCTCAGCAGCCTGTCCACGGAATGCATCCCGGATTCTGACCCTGATATATTGTCAACTATTGAGCGAGGTTCCACAGTCTTGACTTCTCTTCCGAATGACCCCCTTGAGATTTTATCTCAGACTTTGCCACGCTCAGTTATTTCCAGCGGAGACTACTTGAACCTCTTTCATACAGAAGGAGTTGTGAGAGACGCTTCCGTGATCGAGTCTAGATTCATGGCTCTGTACATAACGGAGCATGACGTGGATCCATTCAGGCTTTCGTTTGCCTCTGAAGAAGCATACCAGGAGGCAAAGATCGAAATGTCCTCTCTCCTGGAGGACTCGTGGCGCTGCGTGCCAGATACCCTCTATGGCATCGAGGAGGCTTGGACGAGAACTTCAAGATCCGCCGCTTCCAGTCACGCCCCAGATAGAAGCCCCTTTTTCTTTGTTAGGTTCACTTTCCGGATGTTCGTTACATCAGACTGGCAGCCAGTACGCCAGCTTGTTTGTCTCGGCATCTCCAGCAGGGCAGTAGCGCAGCTTTGGGGAAACGAGAGGTTAACCGTTTTCAACAAGGCCCCTCTATACACAAGCCGCGAGACAAAGAGATTTCTCAAATTCTTAGAAAGTCCATCGATTGTCGACACTCTGGCCGCCGCAATATCCATGCAGTGCCTCACCAACACTTCGCGTAAACGCGCGGGGCCCATTGCACCCTCGTCGTTTGGGTTCAAACGCGACGACTCGATTTCTGTTCTTAAGTTAGTGTCGTTGGTCATCGAATCACACACTATCGGACGACGTTTGTCGCCAGACTCCTATTTGCGCTACTCGCATATGCAGTGCAAACAAAGCCTATACACAGAAGGACCGAAAGTGTGGCCACACCTGGAGCAGTTACAAATCCATTCTAATGGCACTGTACTAGTCGATTGCGAAGAGGAAATGTCCGGAACTCCTCGCCGATGCCTCTACATCGTGGATGGCTCGTATGAAGCTGCCGATGTAGTACATTTGGTGGATCGAATGTCTTATGAAGGCGCCTATTATAGTGTCATTCCTCTGTGTCCTAGTCATGACCCAACAGAATATTTGGCCTACATTAATCGTCCGATGGACCATTCCAGGTACTGGAAAACTGAAAAGAGCAGGGATAGTTTCTACCCCTGGATCTCAGCGCTGCAAGAGCTCATATCTACTGGGTCTACCCTCCACGGCTCGTCTTCCTTCCCAATACTGCTCTTGTCATCTGACGAAGAAGCTAGCGACGACGATAACAATGAAACCACGCAAATCACAGTAGCGTGGAAAGAAGATAGCTAATTATAACTTACTGTTCTGGTCAAAATTCCGGTATTTGTAGTGTCGGACCTCTAGGTCAGTGAGTTGTTATCTCGCGACTCTGGAGGTAAAGTTCACGCTGGCTATTATACAAATGCATCCTGATCCAAAGCCAGTATGAAAGGGGGACATGATATCGCTTGTCGGCACGTTCCGCTTAATTCGTCCCAGGACTGAAAGCAGCGGCAATGCAAATTTGTGCTTCTCCTTGGACTTCTTGTCCTGGAGGGCAATGAATCGTTGCCTTGACATTGCGGCCATCCACTTCGAGTTTGATGCTGTAGTGGACTTCATAATACACATCGCCGTCCTCGTTGATTTTCTCCTCCAGCATGTTTCTCCTCCGAAGGGCATCAAGGGATGCCTTGACGACTCCCGCTTTGCGATGGCCTGCCAGCCAAAGTTAGCGCCGAATTCACAAATCATGGGTTATGGCATTTATGTTCAACTTACCACGATTTTTGGGGTTATCTATGCGGTAGTGCTGGAAGACCCGCTGGTCCGAGAAATATATAGTCTCATAAGCGGCCATCTCCTGGCCTAGTTCAAATGTGCGATGCATACAAATCTCAGCCGACTCTCCCTGGGCGACGACTCGGTCCTATTCAAGCATTAGCGACGGACTAAGTGTATAAGACGATAAGAGTATTGGCTCTACTGCGTGATTTAGGTGCAAGCATACCTTTCTAATAACCCAGTCTATGCAATCTTTCACATATTTCTTCTTATTTAGATGGTTATTAAACCAATGGGCAGCTAAATGGCCCGGGAATCTCTCGTCGTATGGTTCACTGAGACAAACTCCGAGATTCAACCTGAGCTTGCGGCGTGGGCCGTTCTCTTTATTTAGGGCACGAAGCACCCCGCCCCGAGATACTGCGGTAGTCATGTCTCTTGAAGAATAAATTGTTAGCTTTGTGTCCAGGAGAAAGGTCAACAGGATCCGGGATGGGTTACATGTCCTGATCCAGATGGATGACTTTAAGGTCTCGCCCAAAAGTATTGTTCAGGCAGCGCTTCAGAGCCGGCGATCCAGAAAACCCACCAAGGAGGAGGATGACCTACAGCTATTAGCAACAACCAGGCTATCTCAACAGGGTGCGTTCAGGGACATTGGACGGCAGTAGACAGCTTTACCTTGACCTCTTGGCCATTAAGTTGCTCCAGTTGTTCCATAATCAAATCCACAGTCCCTTCAAGACTTCGCCTGTAATAATTATCCATTTGTTCCCTGTAACTCCGTCAGGCCGTGGGTATGCGAGGATTTGCTGGTGTCTTACTTTGTGACGAAAAACATCCCGTTCCCAAAATTTCTCGTCGGGTCCTCCCTTAGGCCGAAAACGCGAAAACTTCTCCTCTCATCCTCCTCCCAGACATCTGGATCGTAGATTCGTTTTAACTCGTGTTCAAAGTTACGAAATAAGTCGTGTTGAAGGATTGCTTCTTTGGAATAGCTGGGCTCCCTGCCCATCTCAATGATGTGTGCCAGTCTTTCTCTAGTTTCTTCAATAAAAGCCTGGTTTATATAGCTTGAACCGCAGTCTTTCCCTGTTATTATTGTTAATTTGTTGCCCAGTATACGTACTGGAAGGGGGTATACCAGCTGGGATGGCTATTTCATCGGCTCTGAAGGGATCCTCCTGCCGCACCTTGTAGGTGATCGCATCCTGGAGAGACGTGAATCATTAATCACCTAAAGCTGGTGATAAAGCATTAAATCTAGGTAGTCTTACAACAGTACCACCTCCAGCATCGCATACAATGAAGTTAGACCCTTCCTGCACATGGTGAGTACAGTTAACAAAGACACAGCGACAGCATCCATACGTACTTTAATATTTTTGCGGATGTATTCGTGGCACAGTGCAAAGGTTACTGCAGCTTCAGGTTCATCAATAATAAATATTGAAAATTCCCTCCCTTTCATATCCGTCTTCTCCACTACCTCAAGCAGAATTTCCTGCATTGTGAGATGCGCATACGTTGACCATTTGGATGGCACGCATAGCACTAGTTCAACCTCCCAAGTATTATTGAATCCCTCATAATTCAACAATTGGCCATGGGTATGCTTGAAGACTTTCATGAGGTAGTCCCTAATGGCGTCTCTGGCAGTTCTACCTGCCTTGTGGAGTGCCTTCCTCGGCTGTGACAGCCGGTCATTGTCGATGCTCTCCCCATCATCATCTAATAACAGTTTCGGAAGCTGGATGATACAGTCCATTGACTCTGCATCATCATTATCTGACAGATTGCGTAGTGTATGTTGCACCTCATGGCCCCACAGGAATTCTCCACCACGATACCAGCTTTCGCTAGGCACAAATGGGCTCGCTGCGTTGACAAATTGGTTGGCCTGCGGCCAGTTTGCTACGCATCGGACCTCTCTTGGATGTACGTCTTCAGGGGGTTCATCTGGATCGAAGGTGATATATGAAATTGAAGTTAGGGTCGTCCCATAATCGAGGCATAGGAGAAGCTTTTTCGCAGTAAGGGGATTTCGCCCGTATCGTGGACTGTGTCGCAGCTGGACGTCGTCTTCGTCCGATACTCTGCTCGTGGACGTGCTGGTCGAGGAATCCGTATGAGCAAATTTGCGTCGTACGCGTCTCGGCGGGTTCGATCGCTGGGCCATAGCAAACAAATTGATGCTGTATAATGAGCACAGTCGGTGGAGTAATAAAAAAGTCACTAAACTCACCACTTTGAATTAGAAATTTATAGCATCGGGCACGAGGCAGACTGCAAGGCTGCAACAAATAGGCAGCAACTACCCCTTACTGAAATTTTGTTGCAAATCTGACTGGGATTGGGGTACTTCTGCTCTAGCTCAGCAGGGGTCTCTTTCAAGCATTGACTTAAATAGGCATGGCGGGAGGCTGTACTTTCGGTTTTGTCCAACGTCGGGCGCCTTGACCTTCGGTGTCTCCGTTCCTGCTATCAACACCTCCTATGTTCCTCCTGTTGATAATATGGACTTTCTTTGCCTCACAATTTTTTTTGGGTTTTAGTTGAGAAAGAAGTGCTTTGGCGACCATTGTTCAAACCAGGAGCGAAATGGGCAGTGATCAAGACATCCCCGGAACCAATTATTTCGAGGGCGTCGGCGGCAGCCGATTCTGCTATGTGCGGGAAGACCACATACCAACGCACAATATCTCTCTAGAAATAACCGATGAACACATCATCGCCGGTGCGAAGCGGCCAATAAAACCTCCAGCACGCTTCATAGAAGGCGAGCGAGATATCCCGCAATCAGATGCATGGAAGTTGAGAAAAAGACCCCGCCAGTCAGCTAATGCGCAGGACGAAGAAAAGAAGGGAGAAACAGTATGTTATCGCGCGAGCTGACCGTTTCAATGAGATTGCATAAAATATATAGCAATGCACTAAACGTAAAACTCCCTGCCAGATCAGCGTTATGGTCCCGCCTCTCAACCTCGATTACGATTCCGGTGGCTCGCCGTTAACCGAACTGGAGGACCTATCAGATGAAATGGATGATTCCGTCTCTGACTCCCCGTCCAATGATGCTGATGTAGCCGCTGAAAAGTTTCCCGAGCACTCCAAGCCAAATAGCACGCATGACCGTGGTGGACGCCAGCTCACGCAAGAGGATCGGCGTGGTGGTTGTGCTAAATGCGCAGGGAAGATGATCAATCTCCGCAACCAGGCACAACAGGCGTTACTTTGCAGGAGCCATGAGACGGTCTCCTTGCGAAAAGAGAATGAGACTCTCCAGCGACAAAACAACCGTCTCAGGGCGGAACTGGCCAACGTCAGAGCATCTCAGGATGCTTCAACTGCCGATCCCACCACAATTAGATCCTCTGCAGATGAATTATTTGACCAGAGGAATGAGATACACAGACTTCGCCGCCGCCTTTCAAGTGCCGTTGAGTTTGTTGAGCTTACCCGCCCCCCTCCATCGTGCAACGATGCTTTTGTCTTGTCAACAGGGTTTATATACAAGGAAATGTATACGTTGAGTAACTATGTGGTCTATACAGCAAATGCGCTCTGCAAGATCCGACGACATCACGTGAATGATGAAACTATAAGCCAAGATCTAACTCTCCTCATCAAGCAAACCATGATCAGCAAAGACCTGTTCTCTACGGACGCCTTATCAGCCTTTCGTGCTCTTACGTTTGGCTTCATACAGAAGCGCGTGTTTCACAGCCCGGAGATATGGAGAGACCTGCACTTCGATAGCGTAATGCTCAGGCAGTACCAAAGCATTCTGGAACAAAGCAGTATGTGAGGCCCGAACTTCACCGACTTTGCGGTATAAACAATGACTTGGCTCACGATTATTTGACTCAAACTTAGTTTCACCTGAAAGCCTAGAAAGATACCACCGCGCAGCCGTTTATCTTACCCTAACAAAGAATCCCGAATTTAAAGAAGTATTTGTTCCTGGTTACACCAAACAGATACAATTCGAGTTCTTCGATATAATGGCACCTTTACTCCATTCAGAAGACGTGAGCGATCACGTTAAGCATGAAACATGGACATTGTTCCGTCATGCCATCACCCTACGTGCGAGCTGCTACCCTCACAAAAGAACGCGCTATCAACTCGTGCAGTTCAAACCAGGCCATGTGTACGACCCGCAGACCATGCGGGCGGAAGATGAGGTTGGAGCAATTGTAACTGTTCCGGAGGACGGACAGCAGCGCCACATCAAGGTCTGCGTGCATGGGATAATGAAGGCATATTCAGTGAGAGAGAGTGCAGATGGACTCGGTCTGATCAAAGAGCTCAGCCAGCCATTTCTTCTTGGGGATGACACACAAGGTCACATTATAAGTGAAAAGGCGGCCGTTATTCTAGAATGATGATTAATTATCATATAAGGGCTGTGTCACCGTGATTATGACCTGAAAGAGACTTAGTAAAACACAACTGGATCCCAAATGTTGTGGGTGCGCTTCACTTCGTGGCCCTAGCGGGAAATGCAGAGTAACGAGTGAATGTCTAAGAACCGACAACTATAATGACCAGTAAAATGCCTAGTATACTGGCGCCGCATTGTACATGGCAAATAGGGTGTAGCCTTATGTGCTCCTTTAGTGGACGACGATGAAGGATGGATACCGTCTTTCTATCATCTCGTTTCACCACCGAAAAGGGACCGGTTTCATTGCTGTAAACAGCATGTTGGCATAGTATAACTGAATCAATTCTCTTACTGCGCTTCACATCCGGCATATTATAATCCTGTTGGAGAATAAATCCAACCTCAAAATCTCTACAAGCACGTATTAATAGTCGATAGAGTTGCTACTGTATTAGCATTTCCTTGTTTCTAAGTTGATTCCGCGTATTTCTAACCACGGATTCCAGAAACCTCTTCTAGGTTCGATTCGTTTGGATACCAGGAGACACTGCTGTTGGGTATAAAGCAACAAATCTATGACCTGTTAATATCCAGTCTCTGGGTAGCTGATATAGATATCTGAAGAGCGCAATTATACTTTGCTTTGGTGTGCGGGAGCACCGCTTAATTTATTTCACAGCTGATTGAAGGTTGGCACCCCTTTTTCCTGCTATATTGTCACACTCTTAGTAGGCAGCGAGTTTGTAGCTTAATAGCGTATGGCTTTGGTGAAAGACGGAGAGGAACGAAGACCTTGTAATCTTCATGCTTACAGGAGAGAATGAGGTGGTGCCACTTACTAGTCTTGCGCGGACCTGACTGCCATCTAGCTCAAGTGTGTAGTCTTCGGGTGAGCGAACACTGAATAGGACGGCAAGCCGCCCACCCAGCGCCAGGTGACTGCCTGTCTCTCTTTTGCTTCTTGTTAGATATACCATTGTTACCTGCTATTCAGTTTCAGCTGAACCACCTAAAGCTCTCTAAACGACACTAACCCACTAAACAACCCCTACACGGCTGATGTGGCCACTCAAGGGTACCATTGTATAAACTGAGTTGATTAGGAGCTAGTTAAGATTGTGGATAACCTGGGGGACTAGTAACTGTGGCTGTGGAATGATCTGATACACCAAAAAATAGGGTTACTAAGCATATATCTAGTGAAGCCAGGCGAATGGCCTATTATATATTTATTTTTCAATCCGGCAGCTCAGGCAATCATAAGCTCCAATATTTATATCTATATATACTATCCATATATCTAAGTTTAGAGACTGAATATATAGTTTCATTTATTTTGTCTGTTCCCATTTATTAGACTACTCTGCAGAACAGGTCAAATCCACTTGGGTTCTCTCGCTCAATAGCCCATAGGAGCGAATCTAAAGTTTCCTCTTGGCCCTCCATCGCCTCTGCTACGTGACAATGGCCGCGGACTTCGGACTAGAAGGTATGAGCAAGGGGCGAGTGTAGTTTCAAGGGAGACTTGACACAGTTTGTACGGCGGGGGTGACCACCATCTCGCGTCATCCCCGCGCGGACTGCACAGAAACTAAGAGCCTACGGACAATTGAACATGAGTGTAGAATAGGTAAACACAAGGGAGGACTCATTTACTGGTGAATTACGTTAAATGACACAGGGGAATGATATAACTAAGATATTACTGATCTCATGTAACATGCTAGCAGGTTTGATGGTGTCTGGCGCTGACGGGACAGAGGTTAATAGAGGTCAAGTCACAAGTAATAGCATGTCATGTAATCGCGTGGGATGACATCTAATCTACAGTCTCAAACTACGCAAGGAGCTAGCATTCCAAAGTCAGCCAACCATGCAACAGCCAAAGGAGTGCTACCAGATGCGACCTATCAGGATGAAAAGACATGTACTGAATTGCATCGTTACAATATGCCTGCATGTCATGAGACAGCGACCACAGCGCTACTTGCCCCTGTTTGCCTCTTGAGTTTCTGGCTAGTATATGTTGATATAAATAGGGCCATATTCCCATGACGAAGAAAAAAAGCGCAGAAAATCAAAGCTGATATTATGATATTTACCCCCAATGACAATCCTGCATAATTCCAGGAAAGGGAAATGGATGCTAAGACTTATACTGTAATCTTAACATAGACCATGAGTTTTAATCTGCTTCTGTACCTACATTAATGTATGGATTCTGCCTTAGCATTATCTTGCTGGAATATTATGCCAGGCTTATAGACTAAAATAAGGCCATCTTCAAGATATTTCAGGTAAGAATTAGTAGAATAACCCCTCAGGAGCTAATTTATTACACTCTATAATTACTAGCTTTATATAGCCTCTAATTCAGATTACCCCCCAGATTATCTGCAAAGTACCCTTCCTATAGTTTATTAAATTATCTAGATCTTGCTGGTATACTAAGGTAATTATTATAGTTATTTCTCTTCTTTTATATACAGGCTTAATTAACTATCTAGATTCTAGTGCTTATAATGCCTTTAAAGGGAAGCATATCTAATATAAAGTAGCTGATAAAATTAATGTAAGTGAGGGCTAGAATGCTATATAGAATATTTCTGTTAATATATAGCAGGTTTATTCTAGTGCTTTTTATATATATATCACAGCAGTGTCACTAGCCATGATAGCAGTATATACTTCCTCAAGTACTAGCTTAATATACTCCTAACTCCCTTTGACCAGCCTCTAGTCTGCTGGAGATGGGGATATAGTAATCCATCCATGAATCACATTTCTGTAAAATAGTTAGCCTCAAATCGTCTTTACTCATTCAATATATATTAGTTCAGCTGTCTGCCAGGGCATTCATCCTCGACAAATCAACTATCATCTCTGCAATGATTGAGCCGCAGATTTTGCGGATTCTCATCAAGATCCCATCTATCCCTTATCAAGGCATTAGGGATAGCATAGGGATGGGTATTATAGTTTGGGAAATCGAAGGGACATATCTATGATGATAACCTATTCTGAAGTCGCATGGGAATTGGATCGGAATTACCCCCATGAGAATGGAACGGAAACGGGAGATTTCCCTGGAACCTAAAGCTTATATGGTTACCATATTAAGATTACAGTATAAGTCATGGCATACATTTTCCCTTTCCTGAAATTTTCAATCTTCAGCCCGATATCTTTAGCAAGACACGATATATTTGCTCCTTTCCCCGAAGAGCCGGTATTGCGAACTCGAGCACATCCCGAAATACACAGCGTGGAGAATGAAAATCGCACGGATTGAATTCGAGGTGAAGATCCGCGAGAGAAGCCGTCTGAAGGTCGGCGCTGCGCCGACATCGTGGCTGGCGAGTCACAGTATGGGAGGAAGTGAGCGGAGACGGTGAGTCCATTGGATTGGATCCACTGATTTGATCAGTGCCGTGGGTGATATGAAATTGGACCTTCTTTTCGAAGGGGAAAGAAAGAAAGAAAGGAAGGTGCCTGTCTTCCCCGTTCCTCCTCTTCAGATGCGATCAATTCGGACATCCGTTCAGCCGGTTGGAGCTTGATCCTCCCCGTTAGCAGTGACCCATCGCACCTTCAATTCCACCGCGGGCTGAACGCGGGTCGGTTATGCAACTCTAGATATAAATGATAGAGCTTAAGCTAACATAAATACTAGAGATGGTAACTAATAATTTTATAAGGTACTAATAGTTAGAGCTATTAGAATAGATAGATAGTTTAGTAAGTCCCCAATCTAAGTTTCAGTAGTTAGGATCCCTGCTGCTCTAACCATATTACTAACCTTTGGATTAAACACTAGCTATAGGGTAGTCTTAGTGACTGCAACACCAGATATACATAGTCTATACTATTAGTGTTTAATTAAGTAGAGGTTAGTATAACATCACCTCACAACCATAGATTACTTTAATACAGCCTTTAAGCTCCATCAGGCACTTACTAAACTAGTTACTAATAATCTTATTCTTAGATCCTGGTATTTGACCCTAGGACTGTTAGATTCTCTATGCTATATCATATCTTAATGAATATTACAGATTGCATCCTGTACCAGTCCTCTCCCGTTTACGCGCCTCTCGGACAAAGGGATATCTAGGTCTTTATTGCATAGGATCTCAGCAGCTGTCAGTGTACAGCTGCAGACACTACGGGTTCGCTTTTACTGTCCGGTTCGTCTCGTCCATGCGACATCAAACAAGCAGACATTTGTCGTGTCGCGTCTCAGATATCGACGTACGACCGCAAATCGCGCCCTCTACCAATTGTTGGCAAACGTTGTCTCTTGGTCGCAGAAAAGTCTATCTCTGGACAGGCAGTGGATTGCCCAATTATGCAGTGCTGGTAAGAGAATAAGAGTAAAGAAGGATCTGCAGGCTTAGCCATCATCATCATGGATCTTCCTTATAACGATTCAAATCTATTCTTGTCTGATGCGCCATCGCTTACTAGGAATCGGATTGGTTGTCGCTATTCGGGCTTTTCGCCTGTCACACCCGCTTTTGCGCAATGTGGCTGTGTTGTAAAAAGCTTCTAGGCCGACTGACAGATCCGCCAATAGAAAACCAATCGACATCCTCTCACGGGTGAAAAATTTCTGCTTCAGACTTACAAGGTCGGTCAGTTTCTGAAATGCCCTATGTCTCTAAAGCTCTTATACTCACACTTAAACGGTGGAGCCTGAATTAGGCAATGATATATAATGACGACATACGGGATGACTGCTGAAAACTGCACCACCTACTCGTCATCGCATCCAAATCCAGATATTTCTGGTATTGGAGTGAGTATCTATTTATGTAAAGGGGAGGAAACAACGCTCAATACTTTATAGGTTTTGAGTGGCTTTTTAGCAACGGCATATCTCAGTTTCTTGTGTTGCATTATCAAAGCAATGCTAGACAGTGGTGTATCAATTGTCCCTGCCGGAAGCCTTGAAAGGCTAAACCCCGGTATATCCGGCTTGGAACCGGTCCTTGAGAAAATGATTTTATCCCTTAGTGACCAGCAAATGATCACTGGCATCTCAATAATTATAGGGGGCCTTTCTCAACTTCAATGGGGTATCTCATCATATCACTGGCAATCGGTGGTAAATTTCGCATGGTTCTCCACAGTGACCCATCTCATCACTCTTACAGCCCTACGGCATGAACTTCGCTCAGACAAATCTAAGAGGATCCACCGTGTTATTATTATGGCCATCCTCTTGGTAATGCTCATTTGCGTAATGGGTCCGGACGGCTACCTCACTTCGTCTGGCAATATTCCAGAGTCATTTCCAGCATGGTGCCTATATCACCCTACAATCGCCTGGAAAGCAGGTCCAAATCTCGTCAAAGAGTACAATTGGCTCTACATGATGTTGGCGATAGGGTTTCTCCTTTTCAGTTATTTTACAAGGGTAGCTGCGCTATTCTCCGACAACAGATGGTATACAAGATTTAACATCCCACATGAGAAGTTATCGGAATCCCTTAACTCTGAGTTAAGGTGTCTGGAGAGCGCAAGAAGCGCAAAAAGCAGGGCTGGAAAATGTATTGCTCTGACCAAGTTCAAGTTAATTCGATCCATGTATGCATTGATCCTTGCGGGAAGCGATCTATACTCATCAAAGATATGGGAGGTATAGATTTATCTTACTACTGATAATGGAATCTTACTGACGACTCTAGATCACCTGGCTTTCGTTTTCTCTTGCCTGGGGTACCATTCGCATTTTTATTGTGCGTAATACTGGGCACGCTTCTACGGACATTCATCAAGAAGAGAATATTTGGGGCTTCGGTCAAGTTGTCGCTGTTGTCATGTTAGCTTTGCCACTTCTTAGTATCATCGGTACGTATATTCCTAGCCAAACGGTATAACTATCGCTAATGAATACCTAGAGGCATACACTTCCTTCGCATCGAATACAATGGAAACGCCAAGGGACACACCATCGCACACCATGCCCCATCCAGACTATACGGATGACCGACAACTAACGTTAAATTTAGCTGCTGATACAGAGGGTACTTCGCCACGCTGCCCATTAAATGCGGCACAACAGATAAGGAACGAGCCGTGGTACTCAAAGCTGCTTGTGCTTTGGTATTTGCTTTCCATTGCTTTCGCAGCGGATCTGTTATATTCGTTCGCGGCTGATAAAGGCATACAATCTTTGGCCTCCTCAGGTGGTATAAAACTTCAAGTGCTACAATACCTCGTGTGGGGACTTCTTAATCTTGCGATCTTGTTTCTCTCCACACTTCTCTTTCTCGACAAAGACCTCAACAGATTTTGGGAACAGTGGAGCTTGGGTAAATACTTATCCAAGAAAAAACTAGTTTCAGGTATTCTATGGGCTGTCATCATCACTGTCCTGGTGGGGGTTTCGGTTTCCTGGGATGTCGACTACGAATATGTAACTGATATGCCTGGATTAGTGCCAGAGTGGTATTAAGCTTCAAGCGTGAGAGTTATAGGCGCAAGTAATTGCAAGGATGACTTGTGAGGCAATATTTCGAACATCTGTTCTCTTGGAGGTGCGTGCGATTGCGGTTATGCTTCAAGGCGCATATTTTGCCTATGAACTCGAACGTCCAAGGTCTCTCTCAGGGTTTCGATGGGTTCCCTTCGGTCCATGTCGCACGCTGTAGGTTGTCGTATCGGTAGCAGTCAAGTAGCACGTGGTGGATTGTCTCCGGGGCCTGTCCGCATGGCAGAGGGGGTCCTCGGCCCAGTCGATGGAGATAGTGGTTCAGCCTGATCTTCCCCAGTTAGAGTTGCATACCCGAACCGCTAAAATCGAATCCAACCCTCACCGAACTCACAGCGGTGAGGGTTCGGTTCCTAAACTACTACTACTTTCATACTAACCCATGACAGAAATGATGATTCCCTTATATCTCAACAACTATTAGGTATTTTGAGTTGATATTTATATCATTGGATAGCCTAGATCTAGAGCTATCTAGTGATATTAAAATCATTAGATATATCCTAGAAATTAGTGATTTCTATCCAAAACGGTGAGGGTTGGTTAGTCGAATCCGATAAAACCTCAAAAGTCGAAACCGATGGTTTTAACCGAACTTGAATCAGTTCTAACCTAGGGAAACCAAAACCGGTGCGATTCCATAGGCTTAGAACCGAACCCTCACTGCTGCGAGTTCGGTGAGGGTCGGATTCGATTTTAGCGGTTCGGTTATGCAACTCTACTTCTCACTTCTCAGTATCCTAGGTGGCGGCTCGCCCGGGATGGCCGCTCACCTAGGAATTATGTTAAGTGGCATCCCGCCGCTCATTGTAGTCAGGGCTGCTACCAAAAACATCACTCTCACTGCAGTCACTCCCTGTCAGGGGGGATCAATTCTGTTGTGCACGGGTACACTTCATTAGCGGGTCTGTAGGCAGTGAGGAATGGATACTGAGAGGGAGGGCATAAGGATTGTAAGGATGTGGGAGCAGGAAATAACACCACAATTCCAGCGAAGTGATCACTAGAGAGTGAAGTAAGTTCAATTAAAACTAGAGCCTGATGTGTAGAAATGGCGGGACCCTAAGGAGGCACTATGCTAGGCATCAAATAATAACCTATATCAGTTCTTAGGCTAGTCCCTTAAACTTAAGCAAGGAAAGAATTGTCAAAATAACAGGGGCATTCACAAGTCTAGCTGATTACTATCTAGAAAACCTTGGTGGTTACTACCAAAAACTGACCAAGGAAAACTATAATAAAACCAATGAACCATAATAAAGACTTCCGCTGACTGATAGGGTGTAGCACCACTCAACCTTCTTAAAAAATGGCTCGCTGTACCAATTCCTGCACAAATGCAGTGATGTCGTCCCACAATACCTCTGGTTGCTCAAGTGCGGCGAAGTGGCCACCCTATCATGGCATTAATCATAAGTATATCCTAATTGAATAGATAATCATGGGTTCAAGAGTTTTGAGTACCTTTTCATGTCTGCGATAAAATATCAAATTGCCAGTTGTGCGTACCCAACTAGCCGGCGTGGGAGCGATCTCATGCAAGAAGCTAGAGAAACCAAGAGGTTTGTCAATATACCACTCTGGATTTGCGTGTGAGCCAAGGGAACTCGGTTCAAAGAGCTGGGTGCTAATTAGCCACTGTCATTTACCACTGCTAGTAGTGATCCCTATACCTGCCGATAATGATATAAAGAAGATGGCAGCGTTTGCGTTACCCAATATAGCGTGACCGTCTCCAAGATTGTGTGGAGATCGGGATCTTCCTCAGACCACTCAAGGTACTTTTCACCCACCCTGAATCTATTAGATGTGAATTATTCCGTGTTAAGACGCGAAATTGATACGTACCAAGCTAAAAGGCTCAATGGATTAGAGGAAATCGCAATTCCAATTGTACTCGGGCGAGTAGCATGCTCTTTAGCATATGCATTACCAACCCTCTCAAATTCACGACCTCTTTCGATGCCAAGTCGGTCAATGTCATCTACCTCTAGCGGCGTCTGCACTGATGGTTCAGGCATATAACAGAAATTGACTGTTATATTCAGTTAAATGCACTAATCATCATGCATTTGTAACATACTGTGAACCGCTAGAGAAATATCAGTTAAAGAGAGTTCAAAGCTTTCAGGTGGGATAGTCCTAAACTCACCTTTGCAACCTGCGTGCTTCGCGCCCATGACTCTCGCAGTGTCGCTCCCTAAATCTCCACCATGTACGACATACCCCGAACCGAAGCCCAGGTTATCCATGAATCTATCGAGGATACGAGCGCCATCCTCGATCCTGAAATTTTTATCCAGCGGAGGCTTTGAAGAGAATGCATATCCAACAAGCGACGGCACGATTAGATGATAGGGCGATTCGGATTGTGGATGACGCTGGTTAATCATGTCCAACATCGGCAAAAACTCCAAGAAACTTCCTAGAACCTGGTTAGCAGAATCGCCGATTTTACACATCGACAGGCACTGCGCAAAGTACCGGGCCAGCCATGTAATAGAAGAATTGGAACAGCTTTCTTCTGACCAGAAAACAAAGCAGCAAAGTGAATGTCATATTCATGTCCGTCTTCGTCGACCACCCTCGTGATATACTGGGGAAAGCCGTTGATATAGCTTTCATGCTTACGCCTGTTCCAAGGAGTGTCAAGCGTTCAGAACAGGATAAGCTGCGCTCAGTCATCGTTAACTAGGTGCTCATCTGCTTACCAATCAAACTGTGTCTCCCAAGCATCTTTGGCCTTCTTCATCCAAGGAAGCGTTACGCCATAGCGTCGATCTGATTGCATATTCTCAAATGACTCTTCAGGCAACCATGACAGTCGTAACAGAGTTGATAAATTGTGCAGCACATTATCTGATATATGAACTTTGAATGGTTGGAATGACCTCCATTCTGGTGGGGACATCCTGAAACTCAGCAAGAATGCGCCCGTTCAAGATGTATCGAGGAATGACAAACGAAGGCCTTAGAAAGCCGTCTGGTTGGAAAGGGGCAAGAAATAGACAAGAAGTTATGCAGGCGTTCCTCTTAGTGATACACAAAGAAGGTAGCAATCCGACGGAGTGAAGTTCCGACGATTTTGGGCCTTGGTGACCACTCACTATGGCCGGACCGAAGTTACTTATAGAGAATTGTGGTCGGAACATCCGACTTTAGTAATTCCTGCCTGATCTTGATTTGCACCTCTGACTCAATTCAATTCGCCCGAGTTGTTTGTTCTGGTGGAACCCAGCGACTCCGAGGTTGTAAGACCCCCGCGATTGACTCGTATAGCACCGCCCTTTTAGCATGGTAGTTGCTTCTAGGCTTCAATGCTTGGTAATCAACGTCATCATGGACACAGTTCCTACGTCGTGTAGCTTTGAAGCAAGGCAAGAATCCTCTTCAGATGCAAAGATCAACGCAAAGCTGGTAATCACACTCCAATTCACATCAGCAAAAAGAACTACGTTGTAGAACTACGACCAAGTCTTGATATGCGACAAGTGGAGCCGCTCGAATCTCCGGCTTGGATTTTAGATTCGTTGGAGTAGCTCGAGACTAGTTGGCCTACGTTCTGGATTTTCTTTGATGCCTGCCTCACTTCTCAGCTTCTGACTAGGCATATCACAAGATGCATGTTGAGGCCTGAGTCATGAATCAAGCCCAGGGCACTTAGTTACGCCCTTCTAAACAGTCAAGCCCGTATCCAGGACACCGGACTCCCAGAAAAGTCAAAGAGACAATCAGTGAGGTCGAGCACAGCGTTGTGTAGTATGTATCCGAAGTCGGAGCCCGCAGGGTGGGCACTCAAGAAGGCGTGGATTGACAAGTTTGACGCGTATGATGCGATTGTCCAGGTTCCAGACAAACACTCTTGGCTCGATCGGGGCGCCCCTTGGGACAGTTTCTCGTGTAAAAGTGGTGGAGCACGAAGCGTGCGTGTTTGGCGACTTTTATCAATAACGCACAGGGAAAGAGTATCGTAGTTTTGGCCGTACGGATAGTAGTTGCGGTTGAACACCACAATTTAAAACAGACAGTGCCTATGGTAAAACTTTGAGCTCTTTTACATTAAAGACCCAGATAGCAAGCGTGATATCCTTTGTGCCATCATTGAGTTTCGCAATCTCAAAGGCCGGCCAGAAGGCGCTGACGGGTAAGGAATGCATAGACAGCTATTGCTGAGGCTAACTCTTGTTCAGAACTAAATTCTTCATGCATGGCGATTATCAAAAGGCATATTGCACAATCAATCAAATTATCTCACTGGCTTTCCGCGATGGGGCTTTTCTCAATGAATTGACTCCAGATCTCATATGGCGGCTTCGAGTTCGAAAGGGCCGCCAGTCACTTCCCCTCCGGTGGAAGCCCGAGATCCTTGATACCCCTCTCCTTCGACGTATTGAGCGCACTCCGCAAGGCCTTATCCCAGCACTAAAAGACTCCAACAGAGACGCCAAGCTATGTTACTCTAGAATGCCAGGCGTAAATGGTTGGCTAAGGTTCTATTCTTACGCCGCCCAGTATTTAGCTTCTGGAGTTCACAGTTGCTCCGAAAATACAGAGACGAGCAGGCACACGAGGGTTGTGTATGGTTGTCTAATTAGACATATTGGACAACGAATAAAAGTAAACGGTTTCTACAGGTTTTCACAGAGCTGTAATAAGTACACAGTACCAAGGTCACCAAACGAGACTGAGACGCAACCTGCTACCATTGGGAAGCATACAAGTACGACGAACTTGAGGTGTCAGGCCTGCCCACTAGTCTACTCCGCTCTCCCTTACATCCGCGACAATGTGACTATGATAAGTCTGTTAGTTCCCGCCCTGATAAGCTTGTTTTCTTTCCGTCATAAGTCAATCGCCCCATCGTCTATGAATTAACTAGGGCAAAAGTCCGCTGGCCGGCTTGATGGATCTCCTGATGACCTGATGGCCTCTTACCTAGACATGTTTTTTGTTACCGTCGTACCATCCTGGCAAATAATAAGCCGCCTCATATCCTTGGTGGGCAGACGTCGAAAACAGTGGCTACGCAAGCACATATATGTTACGACCTGAACATACTAGGCTACAGCATGTATGATCAATAGCACGCTCAAATTATCAGAACCCCGGGCGTAACAAAACTGACCTAGATAGTCATTCATAACAAAGGGGCAGACCCTTAAAACCCATGGCGTTTCAGAATACGACAGTAGCGAGGAATTCTCTTACAATATGCGCGACCAAGATCCAGACGCCAGCAAGCCACATCAACGCTAGGATATCTACCAGAATTCCCCTGGTTCAACAAGACATGACCTTGCATTGGCCGCCAGCGGTCAGAAGGAGATGTTGCTCACGTCAGACGTCAGAGTAGTAGATGGACGTATGAGGACTAGCGCAATGGGCCCGTCCATTTGAATCCCCTCCATCATCAACAATGGCCATTCACCAAACACATACCGATTCCTCGACTTCAACAGTCCCAGATCGAAGGCGCTCGAGATAATGGATGCTTTCGCATACTACCAGACCGTCGGTTCAGCCGCGAAACTAAAGACGCGCACTGGTTGCACAATTTGCAAGTATCGCAGAGTTTTCTCTCTCCTTTTCTCTATAAGCATAAGCATTCGACACAAAGTAGTGATTGGCTGACCATGCTCGTTGTCCAATGCAGAATTCGCAAGATCAAATGTGACGAAACAAAACCATGCTGCAGGCGCTGTCAAAGCGCCGGTCGGAAGTGTTGGTATGAGCTGGATGGTCGCAGTCGGCGCATCGCGCCTCCGCACACGCATTCGATATGGCACAGTCAGCCTCTTTCCGACATTGGGGCTTATGCCTCTCGCGAGCGACGGGCTTTCGAGTATTACTGCCAACGTGCGGGCCCTACGATAGCGGGGAGCATCGGTTGCCCATTTTGGACAGGCGCGGTCCTGAAAGCCTGTCGATCGGAACCCGCCATTTGGGACGCAATCATCGCCATCAGTGCTCTGTACGAGAACCTCGATCCCTTCCTTGGGCCTCCCATGGTCACGGAAGCTGTGCCATCAGTGCGAATGCCTCGAGAAGCTTTCTTATGGTACCTTCGCTCGGTGGAAAACGTGCGATCCCAACTAGCACGGAACAAAGTACATCCGCAGATCGCACTCACCTCTTGTGTACTGTATACCTGCGCTGAAATGCTACAAGGCGATGTGGCCAAGGCCATCTCGCTATACAGGCAAGCCGTGCAGCTGATTCTCTCTTGGCAGCGACAGAGCCCAAGACTCTCGGAAACAACATTAGCTGTAAAAGACATGATGATGCCGCTGCTGGTCCGTCTTGGGGCCGCCATGTTTATAACAACCAATTGTTCGCCCGAGGGTTTGTCGGACCTTTTGGCAACTCCTAGCAATCCCGGGTCGTTGTCTTTTGAAGCCGCCCAGACGGCGATTGTCAAGTTGATTGCAGAGGCCCTCATCCTCCGACGTTCCGCGGCCCGACATTGCCGCAGCGGTCACAAAGTGCCTAGCACAATGTTCGATTTGACCGTACAACAGCGCACCCTGGCCCGTCAACTGGACGAGTGGGACTGTGTGTTTGCCTTCCTCCGGAGTGCGGAAGGCCACCCCCAGCTGTATTCTCCGGATCGGAGAGCAATACCAGTGTTACTGAGCATTCGCTCCGCTGCATCCATCATGATCTCCACTTGTTTCGCAGTACAAGAGACTGCGTACGATGAGCACATAGGCCAGTTTCGTCTGATTGTCGAGCACGCAGCAGCAGCGACGCACGCGCCGGTGGAATGGGGTGATCCGCAACCGGGGTTTACTTTCGAAGCCGACGTTGGCCCTCCGCTGTTTTTCACTGCTGTGAAATGCCGAGACCAGATATTGCGACGGACAGCATTAGAGCTGCTTCGACAGACACCAAAAGTTCAAAGCATGTTCAAATCTATGTCGTGGGCTACGCTTGCGGAGATGATCATTCAGATAGAGGAGGGTTCTGTACGAGGCATGAGGAAACGCCGGGCGCTTCAACCTACGATAAATGGCATTACAACGCTGGAATATATGGAAGAGCTGGACAGCAGCACTCGTGGGGTTCCTCCCGCCACAGAAAGTGTGCCTTCTTTGGCAGAGCTTGTGGAGGTTGATAGCAACTGCCTGGACAGATCGCCAAATAAAGTGTCAGTGGCTGAAAGGCAATACATCCCGGAAGGCCACCGTGTGCATGAATTTGGGATCTATCAAGCACATGGAAGTGCCCCAGTGGACATGTCCCAGCATACGCAGCATCCTTTCATCCTGAGATTTACCAAGAATCAGAAAGACCCAGGAACAGGAAAGGTTGAACTGGTGGAACGCTTTCTTCCCATGAACTTCTAGCTGTCGTCATCAAATGTATCCAGACGGCCAAAGAGAGATGCCCGTTTGAAACCCCTTACAGACTATCCGTGTGGCTTGGCAACTTATGTAGGCTACTGCTAGCTTTCCGTCGATATAACCTGGCGCCAACCAACCGACAATACACGGTACGATCCGGAGTACTGATCAGTTATGCTGTACTTCATACCTATGGATTCTCCCAAGGCTCCAGCCGCCGTTTAGCCTAAACCATGTTCGGCAAGCGCAGTAAGCCGCCCCATAACTAACACCATACTAAGTCCTTCCATAGCTTCTCTCGCTCGGATCCTGACGTCAATTACCTTTTTAGGTAAGTCGGCCATGGGAATTGCATAGTTCTAGTCGATACACCCTGGGTCAAAAAACGAGGGTTGAACGAGTTTCAGAGACTCTTGATCCACATCATCCTATAGACATTCGAAAAGATCAAGCTAAGGGTATGGGTCGGTACTAAAAAAAAAAAGAACAGGAAGTAATCAGATGGATATAAAAGGGTTATACCTATCATCTTTCTCATGAATCTGGACAGGGCTGCCTGTATGAGCACACAGTATTCAATCTTATATGAATGAAACTGCCCACTCGTGGGCATTCTTCATTCGATTGACTTCCCTTAGTACCGACACAACAGCTATACTGGTTCATTGATATACTTGGTCTTGCCATTCCTAGGCTATCATCCTCATCTATATCTACTGTCCTACAAAAAAGGCCAACAACTGACCGATACTGGTCCGTCCGTCCACACTCACACAGTCTCGAATATAATCATTATTCCAATACTAGCGCTGTCTCAGCCCATCGACACGATTGTCGCTTTTACTAGTCGACGATAAATCACTTCCCAACACAGTCAGCCACGATGACAACCGATGCGAACAACAACGAAGGTAACGGAAGCTTAGTCGTCGGACTTATTATTCTCGGCTTCTGTGTGTCGGTCATGGTATACTGTGGAATCCGACAGATGCTGGATCCTCCGCCTCCTCGTCGTCCGGAAATGTCCCAGGACCAGAGGGCGTATATGCGCAACGTACGCCAACGGAATCTCGACCAGCTCTGTTCCACTGTGCAATCTAAACACAGTCCTCCAGCAACGGATGTGGACTCTATGGGGAACCTTTGATGTGAGACAGCTGTCTATGGTCTTGTTCTAGTTCTATATTTTTGACCGGTATTTATGGAATTGCTTCAAGTGTTGCTAGTTTCTGTCTATCAGGAAGTCTCGTGAATGACGAGTATGGGCGGCACGCAGACCGTGTGAAGGGTCAAACCAACTATGCAATTTTTGGCTTCCATAAGGAGATTGCGAACGCACCGTTGAGGAAGATTGGGAGACGTTCATTAACGCGATTTTTGCGTTCAGGATGCTATAAGAAAGTATCGACCTCAAATAGATAATCAAGTCCGTGCCGACAAGGCAGTCTACCGTGCAGTGTTTGGCTGCTCCATTGGCTTTAAACGATATCTTACGACCCTACCTCCACTATTGAAGTCCAAGAGAATAGGTAGTGTGTATTGCAGAGTAACTCCACGACCGACCAGACCCATTTCCGGACTTAGAGCAAGAAACATCATGCAAAACCCACCCGCAGGCTCTACTACCACCTTCGCCACCGTCCTCGTCCACCGCCATACTCACCTCTATACCACCGCCTTGGCCACCAAACTGGCCCTCCTGTCCGTCGCCTGCGCCGGATTGGTTGGGCCTCATCGCCTGGGCGTGGTCCACAAAAGACATGGGGGCCATCGAAGACGGATCGAGGCCCTGCGCCATCATTCTGGGGAGCATGTTCTGCATCATCTCCGGGTTCATGCCGGGCATCGGCGGCGGCGGGCCATCGGACATGGGAAAGCCCATAGTCGGAAAGTTCTGTATGACCTCGAGCTGTTTCTTTTGGTCTCCGAACTCCTTGCGTAGCTCCTGTTGCTTGATCCTGTGGCTAGCCCAGGTGAACTCGTCGAAGCTGTAGTTGAAATAATCCGAGATGTCGGACCCCGGCCGTCGCCACGGCTTGTCGTCGTCTGGGAAGTCTGCGTGGAGGTCTGTCGACATGAACAGTTTCCCTGTCGCCGGGTGGAGCGGGTTTCCGTTGACGTCGATGGTGGACGCGTGCACCAGGGAATACTTAGCTAAAAATTTATAGAGTTCTCTAAGAATAGAAGGGGGATGGCTCTAGTAATATAATATAAGACCTATAATTAACTATTACTTATTATTATAATAAACTTATATATAAGAAATTCTAGTTATAGGTGCAGCTAAGTAAAGAGCTATCTCTAGCTAAGGATTATAGTATAATAATATTAATAGTGTATATAAGCATCTATATATATAGGGGTTATAGGTAGTTATTTAAGGCTTTAAAACACTCTAAAGAAAGATAGGTAGTTATTAGGTAAATACTTTCTATTATTAGTAAGAGATTTAGAGTAAAGTAATAGAAAGTCTGCTCTTCCTACCTTTCCTAGGGTAAGTCTAGTAATATGACCTACTAAGTATAGTAATACTATAGACAGACTCCTAAGAATTATAGAGTATCTTAAGTTTATAATAAACTATTATCATAATCAGCCAGTTTATCTATTATATAAGGATGGGATGCTTATAGTTATAGTAAAATACTTAGCTACTTAGCTTAGTACTAAAAACTAGTAATATAATAGTCTCTGCTATTATGCTGCATTATATGTATCTACGTATAACTCTCAGGGTTGCTGTAGGTAACGCCGTCAAGAGTGGTAGTGAGGGTGCCGTTGTTGGTCAGCTCGTTGACGAAGACATCGATCTGAGCGTGGTATCCGCCGGGGCTGGTCAGCTTACTGCCATTGACCTTTCCGGTCTGGTAGATACTGGACCACCAATGAAGACCTGCTGAGTCGCTCGTGACGTTCTCGTAGCCGTTGAGGAAACTGAGGCCATCGTCCGAAAAGTTATGGTACGTGACCCGGACACCGTTCATCGAGCCGCTGTTGTAAGTGATGTTGACCTCGGCGTATCCAGCTTTATGGGCCGTAAGCGTATACACACCGGGCGGGATGGCGGGTGGCACAGGGTACGTGGTGTTGCCGGGGATGTAAGGGATCGCCCATGGGACGGTGTCCGGTCGCTCCGCGACAACAGCCGGGGCAGCCTTCTTACGGTTGGGGAAGCTAGCGACAATGATACGGTAATTGTGGCCGCCAGGCTCCTTGGAGGGGTAGCAAGGCAGAGGATTAATACCTCCGCAGGCGGGAGAGATGGTGTTGAATTGGTCGAAGACAATTTGCCGGCTATCGAGCGACCAACGAGGGTCTGCGCCCGAATTCCAAGTAGGGTCATTCCAATGACCGGAACCATTCTTGGCATTTTCATTTCCTGTAACGCGCTGGCCGAAGTAATCGCCACGGTCGCCGTACCTGTCAATAACAAAGGTCTGGAAGAAGCGGCGGAGACCGTTATTGCGGGTAGACGAGGAAAAGGCGACTGTTAATAGGTCTGTGATGGGGGGGATGCCGCGCATGCCGGCGAGGAACATCTGACGGCCAGAGCCGCGAGTATCCATAATAGCGAACCACTGGTTATCCGGCGAGGCTGTAATAGGATCGCAATATTCGGGATGGTCGGTAACGCGGCGCGTAGCCCCCGTGGTTAGGTCCGTGGCAAAAATATCGATATTACCGCTCTCCCAAGGACTGCCAACATAGGTAACCTCGTCGCCGTCGCCGCTAAAGCCACGTGCCTCGCCAACCGTGATAGCATTGTAGTTTCTCATAATCTGTGTACCGTTAATACTCAGGTGAGCCAGCCTGTTTGGAGACAATAACACGCTGGCGTTGACGATATCATAGCGAGGAGCAAGGGGCGTGCCCGTGGCTGGGTTGGCGTTGAACTGGAGGCGGCCGAAAAAACCGTGCTGGCCAGCGCTCGGGCCAGTGAAGTTGAGGACGTTAAAACCAAGGTGGACCTGGTCGGGGTGAATGCGGTGCTCGCGGGTAGAGACACCAACGCCCGAATCGTCCGTCGTGCCACTGAGCCGGGTAGGGAATATAAAGGTATTATTGGGAGTGCAGGCATCAGAGGCGAGATCGTGCTTGCCGCAATCGATTATATCGGCACCAGCCAACGCGCGTTTACCGTCGCGGAACGACTGTGGGTATTCCCAATTGTAATGGATTCCAACCTTGTTCGCGGCTGGGACGCCGCATGTTATGCACTTCCAAGGGCTTCCGTTGGGAAAGTACTCTCCGCGCTCAGTCTTGATGAGGATGATCTGGGAGCCGTTGTAGATGCTGGCTGGATCCGGGGCGGCAGGCGCACCTTGGTAGTTGACCAGGACGAGGACGTGTTTGCCGTCGGGCAAAAAGTCACCAGACTGTATGGTCCCAGCGCCCCCATTTGGCAGACAGCCACTCTTGTTAGGGTTGACTGTAGTGGTGCAAGCCCCGATCGCGCTGCTATTCACCAATGGGGGAAGAGGCAAACGCCGTAAGTGAATAACCTCTTCAGGTGGAGGTGCTGGAATGGAGACGGCAATAGTACTGATGACGGCGCCCAGAAGGGCGATCCCGTGGAACAGCATGTCGATCGATGGCTTCTGGCTTGAGGGTTCAACAGGTACAATGCAGACCTGACAGCTGAACCACAGCGTCCTCCTTTATATGTTCATCTGGTGTAGAGTTCATGTCTAGTACTTCACTCCGTCTGGGGAAATCGTCTCCGCAATACACTAGTTTGATACCCCGCTGTGACTAGCTTAAGTGAGGCGGGGTTTACTCAAGGTGGGACCGTTGTAATACTCCGCGGCCCGGACTTTTAATGAAGCTTCCTTCTCCACGCTCTTGCACGCATGTTCAAACCTCGAGATGGCATCCAGTGTCTGTGACAGCTGTAAGCGGCGTAAAGTCAAATGTGATCTCAGTGATCCCTGTTCCAACTGTCGTATCTCGCAGCTACACTGCCAATACACCGCCGTCCCTAGCAAGCGCGGCCGCAAGAGGCGGCCTCCGCGGAACCAGGACAGAGACACCCAGATAGAGCCAGCCGGCCTTGGTGACATCGGAATTTCCCAGAGAGAAGCTCCACGAACCCCCTCGGTCCGTGAGCTGCAGCTCCCATCCTTTCCACGTACACTTCGTGTCATCCCGGAGCCTCCGTTCACGGTGCCAGTGAGCTTCTCAAGTGAACCAGAAGGAGTATTTTCCAATTTGGTTGCGGATGTTGCGGCTATCGCGCCCAACGATGAGATTGCAGCAATTGTCCACCGATGCCTTGACTTGTTTGTGCAGTACCTGTTTCCAACCTGCCCTATCATCCACGAGTCTACTTTTCGGTCCTTGGCGGCTCTCTATTTTACCAGGGGTCATTCAACTCCTGGCTCCAGTGTATCCCTGCAACCCCCGGAACTCACAGAAACGATACACAAGAAGGAATTTGCCCTCATCACAGGGCTCTGTGCGGCTGTAGCCTCTGTAATGCCAGAGTTTCTCATGCCACATCAACATCTACTAACGCAGAGTTTCTTGAATGCGTCCCGTATCATGCTACGCATGTACTGCGATTACGATCTCGAGTACCCGGATTCTTCCTCCTTGTTGATTCGTCTATGGCATTCTGCTGCTCTTCAAAACTCGACAGGGAAAGCAGGTGCTGCTTGGCATGCCTTGGGTGAAGCCACTTTACTCGCCCAGAAACTGCGGCTGTATGAAGAGTCGTCTTTAAGTCGGTTTTCTCCGATAGAGTCTCAAACGCTGCGTGCTACCTTCTGGCAGCTTTTTGCCGCCGACAAATCAGCCGCCGCTTTTGAAGACCGTCCTATTGTTCTTCATCCATTGTTATTCTATGGTGACTTGACCCTTCAGGACATCGGAAACCAAAACATACCCCTTCTTGATGTCCGTCAGGACCACTGTCAGTTTGGCTTCGAAGACCGTCTTCTGGCTGGGTTTAGACTCAAGTGTAGGGTCTGGTCCTTAGGTGGGGATTTAATTCAGCAGATAAAGTTGTATTCTCGACAGAAGACCGATGGCCTGGATGCGAAGGTTGAATTGGCACGCCTGACCGAGACATACCTGCGTTTCACAGGTCTCATAGATGATCTTCCGCAGTGGCTTCAGTCCTTTGAGGCTGATCCCAATGCTTCGGAAACGGACACGTTTGCGTATCAGCGGTCTTCCTTCTGGGTTCAAAGAAGCAACATTCTGACGAGCTACCACTGCCTGGAGCTCCTGGTGCTGCAGAGGTGTATCAAATATGGTACCCTCGAGGATATGGGACTAAGCAGCCAGCTTCTTTCAGTCTCGACGCGGAAGCTAGAAATTGTCCGCGATTTTGTCCGTGAGCTTCATATGGCACCATTTGTTTGTCTCAAGGTTCAAGGGGAAGCATCTGTAAGCGATAGCTGTCTTTCAGCGAGGCGAGACTCTATGAAAAGCTGACATTGTCTCATTCAGGTGGAGCGAATTCGTCACATCGGTAGTGCTGTTCTTGAAATTACTGAAACGGTGGATGACAATAACGTAAAAGAGCGCGCAAACGTGCTTTTCAAGAAGCTATTAGATTTCCTGGCCAGGCTCAACTCTAAAGCGTCTGATGAGCTCGCTAGTAGCCAACCACATCCAGCTATCCGCTAGCTTGTTGGCAGCGGACGACCTGCCAGTTTTACTAACTAGTTCAGAGCCTTTAGTGTGAGAATGTGCCGAATGTGCCCCGCGTTGATGAGGATCTGTTGGAAACCGCGTTACCGTTACCAACTCAGAAATCCCCAGTATCTTGCATTCTAATCACAAAGCAATGGAGGTCTGATTCTTCCCTATCTAGTGTACCCCTCGGTGATGTATATACTATCGGACGTGATAAAGTCAGGAGCAGGGATAGATCGCTCGGGCGAGAATTAATCAGTCTAGATGGAAACAGGCGGTAGTCAGCCCAACTGGTAGGCGGTAAATGATATTAACGGGATTCATGGTCTAGTATTGTTGGAAACCGCTTCACCGTTTCGGGTTTGGAAATCACTGGTATTCTGTATACAGGGAGATTTGTTGTTCACAACCCCTGAACTTCTATTTAGCGCTTAAACTTCAAGGGAACTGGCGGGGCTCTCTTTCTAACCTATTATGGACATGCAAGTTGTGCTTAGATGAGAATGGAATAAGCAAAGTGAAACCACAGAATTCTGCGTCAATCGATACGCTTACCATTCTTGAGAGCGCCCACCCAGGTCAAGATGAGCCGCAGCTGTCTGACCGCGCAGTGACACCCCATAAGTTCAATGAAGTTAAAAGAGTTTCCATGCTTTGGTATGCAACATTTCCTTTCCTCACTCCAGTCAGCAATCATCTAGGCGTATCAAATTATGGCCGGAAAAGGGTCAATCGACTGCACCGAACTCTGAGCATTGGATAGGGGTATACATGTTTGGTCACTTTTACCAGGAAGGGTTATAGATATCTATTGTTCAGAGCTAATGCCATCTGGCAGATAATTCATTTTCCGAAATTTGGCTTCTACGTACAGCAAGTGCAAGCAAAGACAGCTGAGAGCTTGTAAACAACAATTTCTGGCCACTGCAGCGAGAGTACTGGACCCCGCACTTGCCTAGATTAATAGTGGTGTTTTGCTAGGTCTGTACAAAGCTACAAGGGTCATATAATAGATCGCTGTTGCAGTTAAGTAACAAGCACCCATCACTGATACTGCCAACGATGTAGAGAGATCCCATGCGGCCTTATCCCTTTCCTGGCTTTAGACTATTCCATCCGTCACGGGCTTCGCATCAACGTGCACTGTATTCAGAACGGTTTGAGAGCTTCTAGGCTCCAGACTCCGCTTGACTGGCCTGCTTGCTTGGAAGACTTCTTCCAACTCTTCCAGAGTTCTGTCCTTGGTCTCGGGCCAGAACATATAAATGAACGCAAGCTCGAACAAGTCCCATCCAATGAAAACAATGTAAAAGTAGTACTTGATATGTTGAAAAGCTGGGCCGGATGAGTACTGGATAATGGCGGAGGCGCACGCGGTGAAAAACTGTGCCATCGACTTGCCCTTCGCGCGGGTGTGGGTATCCAAACATTCCACAACATACATTGGAGAAATTGGAGTCCATGCAAAGGAGAAGGTAATACCGAACAGATAGATAAATGCGATACTCGCATTGGCGGCGGCCGAGTTCGAGGGATCTTGATCGGCCACCTTGGACAGAGGTGTGATGATTGTGAAACAAATGATACAGCCGACAAGTCTGCTCATGAGCAGTGGCCTTCTGCCCGCTTTGTCGAGGAACATTGATCTAGAAACCGACGCGACAAAACAGAGAGGAGCATATATACCATTAAGAAGCAACTTCCTGCTCTGCGACGTGATGCCCGCATTTTCGAGCATGACCGGAAGATAATAACTGGTTGAGGAGTTTCCAGACCACTGACCAAAGACCGCCATTGACAACACACATACCAGGCGATTCCTGTGAGCTCTCGTTTTCCAAAGCTCTCTGTAGTCCCACCATCTCTTGTCCGATCCTTCGGTTGAAACCTGATATTGCATCTCGGTCATTTGAAGGTTAACCAAAGGATGTTCCAGGTCACCTTCCCCGTGATACCGTGCGAGAACCTTTCTCGCGGATTGCAGGTGGCCGTGGCTAACAAGCCATCGTGGAGATTCGGGCAAAAACCAGGCGAACAGTACAACAACACCGCTTGCAATGAACTGACAATATAGCGGAATGCGCCATCCGTTCTCCAGAGTCTTGGCACCATAGACGACCCAGGCGGCAACGATGGAGCCAATGTACCTGACCTGACATTTAGCGAGTAATTCTCAGGGATACCTGGTTGTCCACTTTATTTACCAGAAGCAATTGTACAGTCCAGACAAGGGACCGCGCCAAACAGGGTGAGCCATTTCGCCGACGTAGACGGGCCCGCTAACGTTGACGAAGCATACTCCAAATCCCAGGATAAACCGTCCGCCCATGAACATCCCATGATTGATTGCTCGAGAAGCGACAGCAGTCCCAACTAGGATAAACAATCCCCCGACGAACATACCAGCACGTCTCCCCCAACGGTCATTGACTGGTCCGACGAATGGGGCAGCACATGCGGTTCCTGTATCATAGCCAGAGTCAGAACCTTACATAGAGCAGATGGGTGTTGGGAAGAAGAAGGAGCAAGAGAGCAGATACCGATGCTGTAAATCGCAAAAATGATGCCGGTACTCGACGATGCAGACGCCCTATGAGCCATGAGCCTAATTCACCTTAGAGCCAAAGAGAACTCAGTCACTCACATGTGAAAGTACTTCTGGTAGGAGACCATGGCATTAATTCCACTGATTGCGATTTAGTGAGAGTTTCGAGAAACTGGCTGACACCTCGCACTCACCCCATGACTGCGCCGTCAAATCCATTCACAGTCGCACAGAGGTATCCGATTACCAAGCAGCCGTACAAGCGGAGCATACTCAAAGTCCAGAGAGAATACTTGGTTTGGTCCGCACCTGTCGCCATTGCAACGACTTCCTCGACAGTGACATGATGATTCGCTGAAAGGTGCTCATCATGCTGCACATTCTTGCCGGTCATTGGGTCGGACGATACCATGATCTTGTGTTGATGTGAAAGTTGGAAGAAGAGGACGATGAGGAAACATGGTCTTAGGAAGTCCCAATCCTATAAATCTCATCGAAGAATGATCTCCCACAGGGAGTTTGATCGACCTCCCCGCACTCTGGGAGAACGTAGGGGAATCCGGGGTTGGATCCGGCCACGTGGGATTTTTTCCACGGAGAAATTCTCCCCATGTTATGGTTAAGGTTGCATGTTGGAAGCAGCAATACCGTTGCGGGTTCCGAAATTACCAGTATTTCTTGTACAAGTGATAAACTTTAAGTAACGGAGCTCTGGTACGCTCTGATTGTAATTTTCCAGAAAGGGGCTGACCTACTTGTCCTTGCCAAGGTTAACGGAGAGAATAGGCGTATTCAGGATGTATAAGCTTTCAGCTTCGTCATGCTGGCCACAGGCTAGTCCACTGGGGCTTTCAAAACCCCCTGTTTTCAGTGAGATTTCCATGATCCGGTTATTTTAATCCGTCTCCCAAAACTCCGCGGATGGCATGGTACCACGTGGTCAACGCAACCACTCTCTGTTCCTCCCCAGCCGTGGCCGCGTTCACCGTCAAAATGGGACAAGCTGATCTTCGCTCCTGTTGCCGATGTGCTGACCGTCAGCGAACGCTAAGGTTCCGCGGGCGGCGGCCAGGAGATCACGTACGTTGGTTCGCCCGTGGAATAATGCAACATCGATCTCTTCACTGTGAACCTCACCCGCGGTGCGGTTCGTCGAATCACCACCCACCCGCAGTATATCGACCCAATCGACGTCTTTCCACGATGACCAGTGGCAGGTGGTCACTCGATGCCCGGGCTCTGGCCGGATGATGTTCCTCACAGCGATACTTGGGGTGCCACATCCACAACGATCTGGGGTCCACGGCCGTGGTCGCTTCCGTCGGCAACAGCGGGGCCGCGGTGGTTCTTCTGGGGAAAGGCGACCACGAATACCACAGTAACGCGCAATAAGTCAATGGGCACGGGGATAGCAGCCGCCAGAATCGGCGACCACAGCTAGAACGCCATCGCTTCCACCCCCCGGCCGGTCGTGGGATGCCACCTACATCACATTTTATCCGAATATGGTACTCTCACAAGCTTGCGGCCGGGTAAACTGTTCCAATCTCACCTCGACTGGAGTCATGGCGGTGACCAAGTAACCAGGCCGGAGGATATGCCCTTACGCTCAATATGGTTGGCTGCAACCAGACAACGATAGTTGAAACAGTCGACTGCTGTCAATGGTAGGATTACTTCGCTGAGTTGTTCGTCTATTCTGGTCTTTCTGTATAGCTCCCTGCCCTCTCTGGTGGCTTCATAAAGAAGAAAAAAAAAAACAATTTAATTATTTAAATACTAGTCATAAACAAATCACCTTCATGTGCATGTTTATAATTTGTTAAAGGACCATTAGGGTTAGCTGAGAAAGATAGATATAATACTTTTTTCAAATATTCAAAAGCAGCAGCAAAACCTGTAATCTGAGGACCTCGACCCGTAGGATCAGGGCAATCTCTTTTATGAGTCTAGTTCTTAGCTGTTTCCTACTATGTGACCTGACCATTCTATATGTACTGTCCAAGGATTAATACTGAGAACCCAAAGCCTGTCTAGATAAACAAAACGGCAGTGGTGAGCGAAAGGAAGGAGTCCCTATTCGAGATAGATCTCAAAAGTAAATGCTCCTGGCTTCAATGCATACTCCTCCCTCGTCTTCGGCCCACAGCTCCCTGATCCTAAACCGTGATGGTCCGCATCGAGCCGCAAAGTGATATAATCCTTGCGAACACGGTGTAAATCGTAGCGATGCTTGGCTTTTTCCAAGTCTTTCCAAGTGTAGTAGCTAGCCATGAAGCTAAACCCCGCCTGGCGTCCGAAGCTGGCCTTCAGGGACGCACCAGACTCACTGGTATCGCGGCCACTGCTCAATTTGACCCATCGGACGTCCGTTCGGTTTCCTGATTCCTGTGGAAATTCATAATCGACAAATAAGTCTTCAATGCGCGAGTCCCAGGTTCCAAAGTTCTGCGAGAGCTTCTTGTCCTTGTAACTCTCCCCGGGTCCCCGTCCAAACCACTGTACGTGATCCAACGTCAAAGGCAAGCCGAAGACGAGCCCGATACGCGGCAGCGTGCGAGGCAAATTCTCCCCCCCGGCGTCACCATTACATATTAGCTGCACTTTTCCATCCGATCGGAAAGTATACTTTGTGGTGACATCAATGAACCAGGACAGAGCACACGGAGCAAGGCGGCTGTTCACGGTGACTTGGATCGACGAAGATGTGGGGTCTACCGTGGACCATGAGACAGAGCGAGTGTGGGATTTGCTGAAGTATAGGAATTTTTCCACCCAGTCCACTCCATCCTGTCGCCGGTCGTTATCAGTCATGGCCCGACAAATGTCGAGCACCGGTCCGAGGCCAGCGTGAATGAGCTCCGTGCCAGATTTTTTCCAAGACGAAAGCCTGCCCGAGGCGAGGGAAAACTCCCACTCAGTTCCCGGACAGCCCATCGATAGACTGCTTGGAGTGATGGCGATACTCAGGGGCACCAAGCTGCTCGGAACCGAAGCCTCATTGTGCGGCGGACTGATCTGCACCTGCGAGGTTGACACCAAATAGCCTTTCTGGGCCCACGGATTTGACTCCTTGAGACGAAAGTCTAGCTGAAGATAGGCCTCCCCTTGCCACTGAACAAGGGCGGTCTTGGGAAGACGCATCGCAGCACCGGTGTGTGGAGGAACTCCCGGCGGAATTGAGACCTCCCCGAGTGGCAATCTACATCCATCCCCAATCACAGAGGCCTCACAGTACAGATGATCCAAGGTGATGATATCATAGCGATTAATGATTTGAACCGTTCCATCGGCATAACATTGAACCTGAACCGGCTCAATTGCCTTCTTATACTCTCTAAGCCCTGGAGTCGGAGTGTGGTCAGAGAACAATAGCCCGTCAAGGGCAAAATTATAGTCATTGGGCTCGTCTCCAAAATCACCTCCATAGGCAAAAAACTCCTCTCCGGTCTGAGTCTCAGAACAGAGTCCATGGTTGGCCCATTCCCAAACAAAACCACCTTGCAAGCGTGGGTATCGGTAGAATGCCTCGATGTATTCTTTGAGATTGCCCGGCCCATTTCCCATCGCATGGGCGTATTCACACAGAATGAGAGGCATAGAGAAATTTGGTTCCATTGCATGCTGGGTCAGCTGCTCAACACTGAGATACATAAGAGACCAGATATCGACCGTCTGGTGCTTTTTGTCTCCCTCATAGTGGATCGGTCGAGTCTGGTCAATCGCGCGGATAGCATCATACATTGCCTGGATATTGCAGCCATAAAACGATTCATTTCCTAAAGACCACATTACAACAGAGGGATGGTTTTTGTCTCTTTGGCAGAGTTGAACGGCGCGGTCGACGTATTGCTGTTTCCATGTATTGTTGTCTGTGGTGAAGCGACCGGGGCGAGTATATAGCAAGGCTATTCGATCCTCGTAGCTCTTGCGTCTGTCTTCGTCAGACAATCCCACTCGATCAACGGTGAGAAAGCCATGACATTCCAGATCCGCTTCGTCCATAACCCAAAGCCCTAGCTTATCGGCAAGGTCATAGAGTCGTGGGTCACTCGGCTGGTGACAGGTTCGAATAGCATTGATGTTGTGTTTCTTCATCATCAACAGATCTCTCTTCATGAACTCATAAGGCACTGCACGGCCGTACCGCGGGTGGTGTTCGTGTCGGTTTACCCCTCTAAACACGATGCGCTGTCCGTTGACAAGGTAGAGGCCGCCTTTCACCTCGATCCTCCGAAACCCGACATTCTGAACAATGAAGCGATTGTTAAAGGCAATGATGAGCCGGTACAGATAAGGATGCTCTGCACTCCATTTGTGAGGCCGATCCACGGGTATGGTAATGCTGATACATGAGGCGCCATCAGCCTGCCTCATCTCTGTGAGAATAGTTTGATTATCCTGATCTAGAAGCTTCAAGGCAACGGTTCCGCTTCCTTGCAGCGATAGTCCGATTTCAAGCAGAGCATCCATGTATTCATCATCCAGCCGTGTCTGAACGTGAACGTCCTCGATGTGTGCTTTGGGAAAGGCCAGAAGGTAGACGTCCCGGAAGATTCCACTGAGTCGCCACTGATCCTGATCCTCCAGATAGCTGCCATCGCAGAATTGATAGACACTCACAGCGAGAATATTCTCCTTCGGAGAGACCATGGAGGTAATATCAAACTCAGCGGGGTTGCGGGCTCCTTGCGAATACCCGACCTCGATTCCGTTCACATATACATGAAAAGCGGAATCGACCCCTTCGAATCTCAGTCGCAGCTGTTGACCAACAAAGGATGTCGGTATAGTAAACTTCCGCACATAGCTGCCTGTTTCATTCTGATCAAGTGGAACGTGAGGCAGATCCACCGGAAAGGGGTAGTTGATGTTGGAGTACTGTGGCTTTCCCCAGCCCTGCAACTGCCAGTGGCCGGGGACATCAATCTCGGGCCAGTCTGTCGTGTCGTAGCCAGGTCGGTGAAACCCCTGAGGTGCCTCGAATGGATTGCGATCGTGATGGAACTTCCATTTACCGCTGAGACAGAGGGAACATGCATGATCCAGGGATCCAGCCAATCCATCCTTCTCGGACTCATAGAGGAAAAAATACGACCGGGGAGAGAGCTGACAACGACTGATGACCCCCACATTCGACCAGTCTGGCTGCTGGGCTGGAAAAGAGCCGAACATGCTGGGCCTGGATAGAGGAACAGGAAGCGGAGTCAGCCGGAGGGGATGCAGTGGATAAAGGCGATTGCTCAAAGTAGAAAACCGTGATGGTTCCAGCAACAGGTCCGAGTACAGCGGCTGCTAACGTTATATGAATCCCTGGCGACTTTGCGCTAAGCAAGTACACCACTGTATGAATAATCTTCTGTTGAGGAAGAAGACTCCCAGCCGTCCGGAACATTGCTGATGCACATTTGCTTTACGCAGCATTCATTGCTCCTCCACCTATTGAGCCCTCCACGGACAATTAATTGAAGGGCCGACATCGTTGGAAGATGGGAGTCGCATCGACCGAGGAGAGTTAGCCGTGCGGGATAGGTCGGACAAGACTGGCGAAAGGAATGAGGGAGTCTCCGTCTTAAATGGCCCAACCAGGCTCTAATTCTCCGCGGGGATCCATTTATGCCCCCAACAAGTTCTCAGGTTTCAGTGCCCAATTTCCCCTCGGCAGGGTATCAAATCGGTGGTGAAATGGGCCAATTGGAATCACCAAACAAAAATCGAGAAATACGAGTCCGCAGCCATTATAGGAGGGGATTATCGAAGGCTAAAAGTAAAATTTGACTCTATGGCAAGACCTCTATAAGAACACAGAGGCTCCCAACGGTGGCGCAATTATAAGCAGCGATTGACGAGAATATTTCTTGCGGCACTACAGTACCGTGGACGATCCACGGATGGTGTTCCTTACATGAAAGTGGGCAGATGGGATACAACAGTGTTCTACACGCTCTGACCAACGGGTATTAGCTGGACGCTGTTACGAAAGATCCATTTGGCAACATTCCAAACGCAAGTTCTCGACGACACGGCAAGATCGGCGAGTTCATGAGTGATGAAAAGATCGCCCAGTCAATGCTCGTCACCGATGCTCTAAGCGATAGTTAGAAACAACGCTGTTGGGAGAAAATTTTTGGTACACTGGGTACCTGGCCTGTTGGCTGGACGGTGTTCTCTAGGTCTCCACACGTACACTTCACCCACATTATCTCATAGTTAGGTTTCAGGATAATTTTACATAGACCTCTATGCTCTGAAGATGAGTCCATTCACGCCTGGGATACTCTTTATCATAATATCTTGATACAGTTTTCCGTGCGTTTTCGCCAATCGCCTCTCATCTATAAGTTGATAAGTGTCGATTGGCAAATAAGTCAGAGCACTTGACACCACGTTGGCGGGAAAATTCTGACAGCTGGCAATATGCCTACTCACACAACTGGCCATCCGCTGCTGAAGTCAATAACATTCCATCCAAAGAGCTTTTGGCCGTCTGCAAAGCCGATCCTGGTGTCCACATAGTGGTAATATAGAACAGGTCCAAGAGTAGGGTCGGTAAAGACTCCCCTGAGAATTATCAGCATTTATTGCACGTTTACGAGGCTAATAGGTAGAGGGCTTAGTTAGGGAAGACATACTGCCCACCAGGTCCGTAGACAGTTCCATGGCTTTCAAGAACAACTGTGCCGCCTCCATTGGTGCAAGCAACCCCGTTCTTGTCAACCTAGTTTCTAATCAGCTTTTGCAACCCCTGAGATATTCAATGTCCACTTACAAAAGGTCCTGTTGCTGTGGTTGAACGACAAACTTTGATCTTATACTCTTGTCCTGAGGCTGGCCTAGACTTGTCATACCCACAGCAGATACCTGCAGAGTAAAAGAGATAATAATGGCCATCATGCTTATACATGAAAGATCCTTCAACAGCATGGGTTCCTGAAGGATTATAGGCAATGTTGTGTATTGAGGATGAAACAGTGGTTGCGGCTGAGTTCATTGGTGCCTGGTAAATATCATGCCAGAAGGAACCAAAGTTCATGTAATATATTCCTCCGTCGTTAAAGAGGTTGCCATCAATCGCATTGTATGGCTTAGAGGAGCTGGAGCGGATACCAATAGAGCCATGGTCAGTCCATGAATTTAGATCCATACTTGTGGATGTCGCAAGCCCAATAGCTGAGTCCTGTGAACCAAACGTCGACACTGAATAGTAGACGTGGTAGACGCCATTGATGACAGAGACGTCTGGTGCCTACATAGTTTGAGTCAAACGCTGAATTCTGCAGGAAGTATACCAACTCATTATTCGCGGCGAGGAGAACACCTGTCACAGAGACAAGCTGCATGATGGGATAGAAAGAACATGAAAACAATATCAAAGTGCGCTCGCGATGTGGGAGAAAATCGGATTTTCTAATTGCAGACAGGACTTACCCAGAGATCGTTATTCCCAGCCAGGTTGATTGACGACCCCCTTGGCAAGATGGACCCGAGTACCGTCCATGGACCATTGATAGAAGGTGCAGATGCATATGAGATTTTGTTTCCAGTTGAAAAGCGGAAGTACTTTCCATCAGTCTCTCTGCGAATAACGCTAGGATCATGGACATTACAAGCTCCAGAACATGTTCCAGGGTTCGCATAGCCATGGGCTAGTGCTAACAGACAATATGTTATTGCCATAAGAGTTAACAAACGCATATTTGCAAAGAATGGTGTCATGTTGATAATGTCGACAGAATGCAGTACAGCAAAGGGACACAATGTGGTGGAAAACAACCTATATATATATGCGCTTCATCGTACCTCGTTAAAACCAAGGCTTCATCGCGCCTGCTAGGCAAAAGGTGTAATTCTCCGTTCTCAACGCCGGGAGAAGCGTTACTCATATTGGTCTCGGTAAGGCAGTCACGGATTGTCTCACATACATGGATGAAACGAGTTAATAGCTGGTTTCACTGTCGTCTGGTTCCGTGCTAGAAAAGTAGAAACAGCTGGCTGGGCATCCTCGTATCCCCTGAACGAGTCCGCCACTGCCTTCAGTTACCCCAGTTTTCATCTACGCAAGGATGGCAAATAATAAAGCTATAATAGCTTTGAAGGAGTGGTTAGATTAGGGGATCATTCTGGAGATATAGTGACCCATCTACTGTGCCTTACTTTCACTTACTCTCCTTGTCAAAATGTGGAGAAAGCCTGGCTAGGCATCCTGCTCTTCGATTAGCGGAGCTCTCAGCGCAATATATCCAGTGGTGGAAATGAAAGAAACGGGACAAAGATTCTTGTGACAAAGCTAAGACAAATAGTTACCTAACCAGCATAGGCAGCTGGTATCAGGGATCACTAGCACACCTTGATGGCCAAGTTGCACCTGTCTTAACGGTCGTTTGTCAAGCCATACAAGGCCAGAATAGTTGTCAATTTTAGCATTGTTGACCGAGAGCAGGATAGTTATGTAGTTGTGGCTATGCAGCAGAACACCATTGATGGACTTTATAAACACCAAGTATTACATTGTAAAGTGCAGATCCATTACTCTCACGGCCTCTCTGAATCCATAATACATCTTGGTTAACCTAACTGACGGCGCGTGCAATTTTAAGCAGCAACAAGTCCCCAAGTGGTGAACTAAGAGTATTGCGAAAAGTATATAATCTATAACTGAGGATAGTGACTTGAAGCGGACGAGGGAGAGGTCCGTTACCTGAGTGATGACGAGTTCGATGTTAGACCGGTCCTAGAAGGTCACCAGCGTAATTCGAAATCCCCGGCAGGAGATGCACATTGGCTGCTGCGTCTCCGTGGGCCTAGAGAATATCAATTTGATATATTTTTTCTTCTAAAATCATGGTATGTAAAATGAAGCAAAAGCTCCTCAGCCTGAACCCTAAATAAGAACCGTGGAGCCAATGCTACATCATTTATTGCACAGTAAGATGGACCGGACCATATGCTAACTTAGGTAGCAGTATACCCAACCAATCATTTAGTAGCAGCTTCCGCGGATTTTAGTAGATGGAGAACAGCAGCTATGGGATGTGCTTCGTGCTTGCAGGGTTCCCAGTAATTACCGATGGTTGTTAGTTACCAAGTAAGGTAGTCCAAGTACGAATACGGGAAATTTCCGAATAAGGACATACAATTCTTATTCTCTGGGAGGAGGCACCAGGTGGCGTTCTATTCTGATCACATGGGGATAAGTGCATGTTTCATATATGTATTCGAGACTGGGGGCGAACCGCCTCATGGAGTCTTTCAAAAGGATCCATTGTGGGCTGCAAGTGGCAAGAGGCTGGAAGTGAATTGAGCTGAAGACAGAAGGTGTGATTGAAAGCAAAAGAATCAAGGAGCAATGACAACCACAGCAGACAATGTGGGACGACAAGTTAGGTTCGGCTTCAATTGAGTGATCCAAAATTTCGTATTCGTAAAGTACTCGCCTGATTTGGAATCGGGAGCGGCTCCACATGTCCAGGAATGCCGCCGATCCCTTCTTCCCGGTATAGTCATCGTTGTAATACATTCTAAAGCGCCCATAATGGTGTCCTTTTTTCAAAAGGTATCTCTGATATCCTGAGTTTTGATCGGCACAGGGTTCTTTGTCACCCAAGACCAGCTAACGTAGCTGGTAGAATTAACTAAGTTAACCCTTATCCTCAACATGACCTAAGGATTGTCTGGTCTGGGTAGTCATACGCTCATAGCAAAAGCCATTATCCACTACGCTATCTTTGTACGATCCCTGAAGATGACGTACCAAATTGGTGGCACTATTTAAGCCATGGCCGTTCTCTATTATCCCATGATGTCTCAACCGTCGTTTCAGGCTTGCGTTCTCGTCGAAGGCCGATCTCTTCTCTCTCAAAATGATTGTGTACGCTCCACTGGCCCTAGGGCTGCTCATACACATTAAACGCAGTTATGGCATGCACTTTCCCGACTGTGACCGCGGACCTCTCCTCTTAACAGAGAACGATGTATGCAATTTACAGATGTCACCTTCTGATCGCGCTGCAGCCTTGGTGAATAGCATGAACATCACTGAGAAACTGGGCAATCTCATTGAAGCAAGCGCCGGGTCCTCCCGTCTGGGTATACCGCCCTACAACTGGTGGAACGAAGCGCTGCATGGTCTTGGATATTCTGATGGTGTTAGCTTTGGCGTGAACTTTTCAATCGTCACGGAGAATCCTGTAGGAGAATTCTCGTCTGCCACGTCCTTTGCCATGCCCCTGCTTCTTGCCGCTGCCTTTGACGACGAGATGATCTACGACGTTGCAGACACCATTAGCACTGAGGCCCGTGCCTTTAGTAACGGCGGCCGTGCAGGTCTCGACTACTGGACCCCGAACGTCAATCCATATCGCGATCCACGCTGGGGCCGAGGGTCTGAAACCCCTGGAGAAGATCCACGGCGAATCAAGGGATATGCCGCTCACTTCCTGCGTGGCCTGGGAGGAAACCACAGCTCGAACACGAGAAAGACATTGACACACTGCAAGCATTACGCCGGATATGATCTGGAAACATGGGGCGGTTATAGCCGCTACGGATTCGAAGCCAATATCACTATGCAAGACCTTGTTGAATATTACTTGCCGCCATTCCAGCAGTGTGCGCGGGACTCCAAAGTCGATTCCATCATGTGTTCATACAACATGGTCAATGGCGTGCCGGCCTGTGCCAATTCCTACCTTATCGACCGCGTCCTACGGCAGCATTGGAACTGGACAGCCTCATCGCAATACCTAGTCACAGACTGTGGTGTTGTAGAAGCGACCGTAGAGCACACGCATTATACCTCAAGTCTTGCTGAATTCAGTTCATTGGTATTTGAGACAGGCGTCGATCTTGTGTGCGCGGGAGACACGCCAACCGGTATTTCAGAGGCATATAATAAATCCTTGCTCTTGGAGGAGACAATCGATATGTCTTTGCGCCGCCAGTACGAAGCGTTGGTGCGCGTTGGATACTTCGGGCCCAACTCGACAGATCCATACGTATCATTGGGTTGGTCCGCTGTTAACACGCCCAGGAGCCAAGCTTTGGCACGGAAGACGGCGGCACAAAGTATGGTGCTGCTCAAAAACGATGGCTCTTTGCCATTCATATTCACAAACGACACCAAGGTAGCGCTCATTGGGGCTTATGCCAATGCCACCTGGCAAATGTTGGGTAGCTACTTCGGTGTTCCTCCCTATTACCACGGGCCACTCTACGCAGCAAAGCAACGGGGTTTGAAGACTTTTTACGCATCTGGTCCCTCCACTTCATCAAACGCAACTGGTAATTGGACAGAGCAGATAGAAGCCGCCCGGAAAGCTGACGTTGTGCTGTACTTTGGGGGTATCGATGTTTCATCCGCGAGTGAACTTAATGACCGCTCATCCGTCGCGTGGCCCGCCTCTCAGCTGAGTGTCATCAAGGAAATCTGCGCCCTTGGAAAGCCCTGTGTTGTCGTTCAGCTAGGCGACCAACTCGACGACACTCCACTCCTCGATAATCGTAATGTTTCTGCAATCCTGTGGGCGGCATATCCTGGTCAGGATGGAGGGCCAGCCATTTTTGATGTTTTAACTGGCTTAATCCCTCCTGCCGGTCGATTGCCCGTCACACAGTACCCCTCTAGGTACGTGGATCAAGTTCCAATGACGGACATGTCTCTCCGGCCGCAAGGTGACCGGCCGGGACGGACATACTGGTATTATGAGGATGCAGTTCTGCCTTTTGGGTATGGGCTGCATTATACGACTTTCGCGGCTGTAATTCAGGGCCATAGAACGAGCGCTCAGTCCTCGTCCGCTCGTGATCATTCTTTGCATCTGGGTTCATACCACATCAAGGAGCTATTGGCCGATTGCAAGACCCAGTTTCCGGATCTTTGTCCGCTACCGCCGGTAGTTGTGAATGTAACGAATACAGGTAGTCGGACGTCCGACTTTGTTGTCCTTGGCTTTATCGCGACTACTGTCGGTCCCCCTCCGCATGCTGCCAAGAAGCTCGGTGCTTATACTCGTTTGAACGCCGTCGTGCCCCAAGAAACTCGATCTGCTTCACTTTATTTTACGCTGGGAGATCTGGCTCGCGTGACCGAGCGGGGCGATCGTGTGCTTTACCCCGGGGTTTACAAGGTGCTGATCGACGTGCCTACACAATCTACAGCAACCTTAGAGCTGTTGGGAACTGAGGCTACTCTGGAGTCATGGCCGCAACCTGTGTAGACTGCTGAGAGGCGACGCTAGGCGGCGGAATTTCTGATTTTTGCTTAAAGGGGCGTGATGATGTAGAGTAATTTCCATATCCATGTCTCACCAGCTTCAGCTTGAACATAATTTATAATAATACCGATGCATCAGCAATTTGTATACTACGGATTCCCGTTCACAGTCGATAGCGTTCGTAGAGAATTCTCTTGCCGAGGGGATGAACGTGATCGTTAGACTCAGGAATAAGGCCACAATGGAGAGGTGTCGGAAAATTCCCTCTTCGTCTGCAGGAAAGGGTTCAAAGTGAGTTACACCTGCTATTTCCCCCGTAGCTCTCTTTAAGAGAGGGAGAAAGAATGAGGAGGAGTTGCGGGTGGGTTGGTTGAGGGGACACGGGGGGCTTCATGCCTCCTATAGGTATGTTCACACTTGGCGAGCGGTCCGGCGCAAACTCCTCTACCCAGGATGGTATGTGGGCCATTGAAATTATCAGCATGGTTGTGCAAATTCGAGAACCAGACAATGGTTCTTTACCAGCTAATCCTATGAAGCACAAGGCCTTGCGACATCAACGGCACCTTTAAGAGAAGATCTCTATCCTCACGCCAGTGCCTACACGTTCTCAACATCTTGGCTTTCATGAGTCAGCTTCAGTAACAATATTAAGTCTCTCATGCTGCGAGACGCATTACATACGCATGTGTGCGGTGTTCCACTCGTAGGACAAGAAGTCGTTCTCCTTGACAAAGTGTAGGAGCATTCCCATGCCTCGCTTCTGAACGAACTTCACGCTTGATGTATGATTAAAAACTTCTAATCTATTGTTCTGTATAATAAAAGTATTCAGACAGTCCTATAACTTCTCGGAACAAGCCCTTCCTTCTGTATTCCGAGAGACATCCACCACAAGTGCCTAAGAGCTATCAGCTCGCCTTCTGCATCCAGAGTGACTACTTCCAAGTCTGCGCAGCTACTACGAAGCATTCTGGTAACGACGCGCGACTGTAGCCATTCCAGGCTTTCGGGAGGAATCCCGGTCGTCAGGTCAATGTCCAATGTCACAGTGGGATACCAAAACGTTTGAAAGTTGGCAGTCTAATCCTGTTCGTCGACGTCCCGTCGGAGTACGGTAAAGTCTTGTCGGAGGAAATGGATGATTTTATGCAAAAGCTAGGTTAATGACAGGGCTCTTCTCGGAATATAATCACTCGCTTGCTCTCATCACCAAGATTTTATTCTACGCTTCCCAAAATTCGTTTCTTTGACGAGCAGAATGGTCAACACATTCCATCATCTGCATCACAGGCGGAATCCATGACGCCTGAAGTCTAGAGTGAAAGTGAAATGTTAGTCTCGCGCGATAGCTGTTCTCAACAAAGAAAGAAAGGCTTATAGACGAAAGAAATGAAGAAGACTCACGAAAAACGCTCGTTGATCGAAGCATTAGGGTCCTGGTCATTCACACGGAATGGTTGTACACTGCCGTCTCACCAGCTCAAACTCCGAATCATTCCGACACCATGGTAGAGCAGGCAAGGGCTCATGATCCCGCTCCCTCAGGTTGAAAATATACTCGAATATCTCTCCTGCAAGATCCAGAATAAGATTAAGACCCGCTCCGATACTTCCGCCCCGACTGAAATAGAACGTATTCATTTGAGGCCAGATTCGCTTTTTCTTATAAAGAGACATCAAATCATCCGGCGTAGGGCCTCCACCAGTTTGCAGACACTCAATGATTGTGGTGATAAACTCTTTAAATCCGCGGCGCAGGACTCTGCTTTTCTTAAATGTTGAACGAATAATCTTCTGGGATATACCCGAGTAAATCCCCATTGACCCTGCACCAAAGACGGCTGTCACTCGTTTCCGTTGCTTCGAGTCTACAGAGAAGCTCCTCAGCAGTTAGCTGCAGGGTCTGCCTCATCCGATGGCTGAGAAAGCCTCTAAGACAGAGGCCACAGGTACAACCGAAACGGGTACAGGCCCAACGGGGCGAATTGTCCTGGGTGGTCGGCCATCCACGGAGAGCGAGCATACACCGGACTGCTTCGTCGGGAAACCCATCGAACTTACCGGCTTTGACTAAGAAGTGTTGTCCAAGATATTTACCCAGACGCGTCACCTCGAGTTGGGCCTGCAATGCCTCCAGAGGAGTGTAGCCTTCAATATTCCGGCCTCCTTTGAGATCTGAATTGTTGGTGGTCATAGAGTCAAGGATCCAGGTGACACACTCGGGCTTGGCTCGGCAAGCAGCGATGTGGAGGATATTATTTCTCAAACCGTCTCTCATTTCAAATAAATGCCCTTGCGACCCATCGCTCTCAAGGTTGCTCTCCTTGAGCTTTTAAGTATTAACTGCGTGTTCAGCCACAAGGCAGAAACTGCCTGATTGGGAATCCCGGCCAACATCATCGAGCTCTTGGGGGCTGAGTTCAATCCTTGTATTGGTGTGAGTTCAAACCATCCCCTCAGAAATGCAATCAGCGTGATCACAGCATAACCCAAGAGAAAATACTCCTCACAGACCATTCTCAGTTCCTATATATGTACATTAAAACCTACTGTATCCAAAATTATAATCTAAAACTTGGTTCCAGTAACACATACTCAGTAGGTCATTCCGGAGCGAAGCGAAGCATGTCTTACTGCATTCCATTTTACCTCTTTTATTGGCGCTCAACCTGATTGGTCCTAGATTTAGGCTTTTAGGACTTCTGATTGGCTCATAAAAAAAGGTTATCACGTGCTCTCAGAGCTCCCGCATATATCGGGGGGGCCCTGGGGGCAGCGGCCCAGCGCCCCCCAGAGTATCTATGATTACTCTTAATTACTGTAAATCATAGTATCCTAGGGTCATAATATAATTAAAAGGGGGTGCCAGGGAGGTGGTCGGGTGTCACTAGCCACCAGGTAACTATGTATGTATAACAAAATAAACGGAAATTTTTCGCTGTTTCTGAAAAGAATCAGATCGTGGTGCTAAAGGAAAATTTAAAACTCAAAATACTGTCAAAACTCTTGTCCTGTTGATCTAACATCCGCCGCCCATTACACCCGCCAGCTCCACAACAATGTGCGTGCCCGGCGCCCACAGGGCCACAACGACCAGCTCCACTGTGCTCGGCGCCTTTGATGTCGAATCCGCCCTCGAATTCCCCGCATGTCCCGAGGCTGATATGATGACTATTCCTGTCAGCGCAACTTCAACTTGCGATTTTTCTGCCATCAGTCCGGTATCTTCCGCCCTTGCGTTAAGAAGTAGTGTCACTCGTAGGGGCGGTTGCATACAAGAAGTCTGTACGGTGTTACGCAAACCGGTCCATTGGTTGATTGATTGATTCAGCTGTTAATCATGAAACTCTGGTGTCGGAATCATGTAGCATTTCTAACGGGCAAGGACTTATATCTTAGAGGTATTACGGGTCAACTTCCGTCCATACTGCCCAGCTGACTATATATTCAGTGAATTGTGGCACAGTAAGATGCGCAACATCCTGCCAAGTGTAGGATATCTCAGTATCTTAGTTATATAAGCAAGTGCAGGGCATAACATATTCAACTACTGAACAGCGTCTATATTCACGCGCGATCTTAGTAACGTTTGGGTTTTTCTTAGCGTTGGACGGCTTCGCAGGACTTGATAATGCAAGGTTCATTAAATTTTAGTAGATTTAGGCATGTTAGGTGGTGAGACTAGCTTCAAAAGAATAATAACACACATGGTTTAAAAATCTATGGTTGCAGTGTAAATATATACACTGGTCAGGTAGCTAGACGGCTGCTCTCGATTCCGACAAATTAGACACCAATTACCAGACGTTACTTGCACAATTTGATATTCACTTCAGCAATTGCCTCCTCCCCAAATCCCCCTTTGTCCACTCCCAGAGTTTATCCGCCAGCCCCATATCCTGCGCAACCTTACTCGGCTTCTCCCTCTTCGGCCCCGGCACAAAATACTGCCCACTATCCCCCGCCCTGAAGTCTGGCGACGCAACCGCAAACACCGAATTATACGCCCCCTCGCTCGGCTGCGAGTACACACCCAGAGTCTTCAGCACCGTGTAAAGCAACCCTGGCAGCGCAGTCTGTTTGTTGAGATTCGTATCAATGGACCCCGGATGCACCGCCGCGGTCCAGATCGCCGGCGCTGCCGCCTCCGTGTTCTCACTCTGAGTAGTCGCCCCGTACAGTTTATTGAGCTGCTTCGCATGCAGGATATTAGCCAGCTTACTCTGCCCATACCGCGACCAGATCCCCCCGCTCTTCTCCAGGCTCAGATCCTCAAAATCGATTCCCATCTTGGGCGCGAATTTATGTCCGTTGCTCGTGACGTTCACGATCCGCACACTCCCCGCGGACCCTTCCTCCCGCGCCGTGCTCACGAGTGTGTCGAGCAAATGCCAGGTGAGCAACCATTGCGAAATATAATTCGTCTGCCACTGCGCCTCGAACCCATCTGTCGGACTTTTCGCAAACGGCGTCGCCATGATTCCCGCGTTATTCACCAAGCCGTGCAATTTGGTTTCTTTTGATTTGAATTCCTTTGCTGCCTTCACGACGGACGACAGGTCTAGGAGGTCCATTTGCAGAATGTGCAGATCGGCATTCGGGGTTTCGGCGCGGATCGTCTCGATTGCGGTGTTGGCTTTTTCCAGTGAGCGCGAGCCTATGTACACGCGGGCGCCGCGGGTGGAGAGTGCTTGTGCGGTGGATAGGCCAATCCCAGTGTTGGCGCCCGTGACTAGGTAGGTTTTACCGCTCAGGGAAGAGGGGAGTGCAAAGGGAAGGGAGGGCGAAGACATTGTTAGTATGTTTGTTTGTGGACAGATGCGACGATGGGCGAGGAAAGCTGGAGAGCTCCTTGCGGGCGACAAAGTACGCAGTGCTAACCTTATCTTTTATTAGGTAGAAGCTCTGGGCGACGAGGGACGCGGCTTTGCGCCTGGGCCCTCTTTGCGGGACAGCAAACAAAGAATGTCAAAGATGGAGGGAGTTGCCTGGCAATCCCTCCGTGGATTTTGTAATTAATGTTAATTTTATACATCCCTGTGTCGGGTAATTGTAATTTGAAGCTGAGGGTGCTTTTTAGCTTCTTCGGCGATAAGAGCTGACAGGGTTGTCGTATATTTAGGCAGACACGCTGTGACGTGGTCTGGGTTGAAACCCTGTCTTCTCCGGAAGATGTCCAACGTGCCTGCTTGTCTTCCAGGGAAGCAGATCCGGCAGCACTTTCTTTGTTGCTTTCCTGTGCTGGTTTTCTACGCTTGTCGCGGCTGGGGGCCGCGCCAGATGCTCATAGCCATATATCAGGTGCGATTCAGGCGACCAGACCAAGAGGGTCTGGTCAAAGTACTCTTTTGGCTCAGTTGGGGATGTGTTGCCCCAATTCACGCTATTACAACGTTGCTTTTCCACGCTACTTTTCTACAACTCTACTAGCTAGGCCTGCGGACACCGTATGATGGCTCGAGGGTACGGACGCGCATGCCGGTTGGCCTAGAAAGGGAGAGTATTATGCCTGACTCGTAATCAGGTCCCCAGGAGCCTCCTGGCGCGATATCGCCCATAATACTACTACCCTTGCGGCTAGCTTAAGGTGCAAACTCCGGAGATGTTTGTAGCAGCAGAATCCTTTGGGCCGGGTTCTGCCAATAGGACGGGTAAAATGAGTGCGGGGACTTTTGTTGGAAGGTTATTTTGAGATATGCCTACCAAAAGATGACAGATCCGAGATTAGTTAAGGTCTCCAGAGATGATTATCGTTGTTGGTTCTATAGGCCTTGTACGAACCATTGACTAGCGCTGGTAAGACAGTCTGCCTCTCGTTTGCGCTCTTCTCTGCCGTTGGCAAACGGACTCTACCATACAGTGGATTATTGCATTGAAGGAGCTGATGTACCCCCTATGGATAAATCTGATACAGAGCAGATGGTATCTTACATTGTTTTAAAATTATACACGCTTGGTCCAAACTAGTCCATGCACATGATAGTCAATCCCTTTCAATTAGTTATCAAACATTGATATCACTACTACCCTGAAGTAAAAATCGAATCCCTCTTGACTTTCAGCTGTTGTGTTCCAAGAAAGTTCACCAATGTAAACTGCCATATTCAAGCAGATCCTAACCATCCTAATTCTATAGTAAGAGAGGAAAACACACACCCCCACATACGGAGAGGTTTCGGCACCAACCAGCACACAAGGCAAAAAGAACAACACACTCAATAACCATGCTGTTCACCCAGCTCCTCTCCGTTGCATTTGCCACTGTCATAGCTGCCCAGTCTCCTGTTGTATGTTACTCAGCATCTTGCAGTAACAGAGACTGGTGGGCGTCTGACCGACTTCACGCAGGCTACTCTTTTCCCTGAGCCCAGATTCATAGGGCCGCTGCAGCAATTCCTTTCTGCAGACCAGTGTGTCCTCGTTAATTCCAATACCATCGATCCCAATGCCATACCCGCTGAGGTGCTTGTCTACAGTGATCGGTCTGACCTCCAGAACCTCCAGGCACATGATGATTACTTTCCAGCGCGGCTGCCAAAGTGTTAGTGCCAGTTAAATTATTGAGGTGTTTTTACTATGCCTGTACTGTGCGGTATCTAAATCATTTGTACTTTTCCTCAGAAAAAGTTGGAAACCCAAGAGGCTTCATCGTACTCACCTCATGTGTCTGGTTGATCCCCAATCCTGTCATTTGGGAATAAGAAAACAATCAACTTTGTTGATAGCACAGCTTCATTTTCATATACCAAAGCTTTTTCCTTCCAAGTATGAATAATTTGAACAGAAACTCCATTGTTTTAAGGTAAAAGTGGCTATATACATGATCGGCAGCGACGCTTTGGCCTCAAAGGAATGATCACGAACCCAGTCCTTACACCCGTTGTTCAGTCCTGTTCTAAATAGCCATGTAATTGTTTCAGCACCTCGTCGAGGCTTTCGAGCTAGCGTTGATAAGTTATGCGCAGCTGGTGATCATGTTCATTCCCTCCAGCTAGAATTCTGATGAGATCTGCACTTTCACCTGGGTTGGGGATGTCCCACCGTCAAATCCGCGTCAGCCAATAACTTGATTTGAGCGCGTCACGTTAACGTGCAATAAGTGGTACTTTGGGGATTCTAGTACGGGCTTGGTCATGAGGAGTACTCCAATTCCTGTTATTCACTTTAGGCTTTGTCCTAGGCACTGTTATAAGGATAGGCTTTAAGATTAGAGATCTTTTAATATAGTTTACTTACTTTAGTAGTATTTTAAGAGAATATATGAGGGTTAGGAGTAAGGGGTATAGCTTCTATACCTAGAGTTGCATTCGGTCTGAGTTCGGGCGAGTTCAAAACCAGTTGGAACCGAACTGCTGCGATTTCGAGTCCAAATCTTAGAAATCGGAACCAAACCTGATCTGTTCCGATTTGGTTTGAGTTTCACCGCAAAATCCGCCACTAGGCCTAGCTAGGCCTAGCTAGGCCCCTACTAACTAACCATGGTTAGATT